AAAAAATTTTAAATCAGAAAGCATTTATCTTGGAACCATTAAAAAAATTATTTTTGCTTTTCGGACCATTTGTTTACCCCATTGGCAGATTATTTTGCTTGTTATAAAGAAGAAGTCACTTAACATTCATTTTCTGAAAACAAACAATATTTTTTAAATGCCTAAAAAATGCTTCTTGATTTAAGAACACAAAATAAGGCAAAAGCTAAGCAACAAAAGCATTTTTGCAGTGTAAATTAGGGCTGCACAATATATCGTTTCAGCATCGATATCGATCATTCACAATAGTCACATCGTGAACATACGCAATGTTGAGTCTCGATTATAATTCACCATTTGCATGTGATTTTGATGCCTGTGATTGTAAAAGGACCTTAAAAACACTCATGCATACTAAATTGTCCCATTTGTAACTTTACCAACAATTTATTTTATTGAAATGGTTTTATTGTTATCTTTTAGTTACTGTACTAGAATACTGTTAGAACCGGAAAACGATAAAACACTATTTCAATTGTATGTTTTTTTTTTTTTTTGTATGTACAGATTATTTTGCATAAAAAAACTCACAACACATGCAAAAACAGAAATGCACTGCAAATAGCACAGACACCAACGAAAATGTGTCGGGGGACCCCAAAAATTGTATAGATTATAAGATTTTATGGTGATGCACTCCCACTACAGATCACCCCTATCGATCTAACATTACAATTGCTTTGCTAATAGAAATATTTAAGTTATCTAGTGAAATTGTATTCATTTCGCAATATATGTCGCAAAATAGAAAATAGCATAATGCTAGATTTTGTTAATATTGTATTGAAAAAGAACAATGAATAGAAAAAAATGGTTGAAAAAGAATTTAGTCTTGTCTCATTATGACAAAGGATTCTTAAAATTGTTTCTATTCAAAATGGGGGAATTTGAAAAAAAACCTCCAATAGCAGTTTTTTTTTTTTTTTTTTTGTCGTTGATAATACTAATTTGAGTTTTGACAGGTCAAAATATTAAACATTTAGCTGTGTAGATCTTACCTCACACCTGTTTTCACAAACTGAAGCGTTGGGCAAGCCATGCCTACTTTTATTTGATTGGTCATCTCAGTCATTTTGGAAACTGGCGAATGCTGATAGATAAATAAAAATGGAAAAAATTGTAACCTTTAGTTACTTATGTAACATTTAAATGAAATAGAAAGAGATAAACATCTAAACTGTAAAACCTCAGTCAAAATCACTAAATGAAATAAGTTAGTTTAACTTATTATCTTTTAAAAGGTTAGTTTGACTCAAATGAAAAAAGTGAACCAAACTCATGAACGGATTGTATTGAAGCAGAACTCAAAAACGATTGAGCTATGAATGAATTAACTATATTTTTGTGTTAACTTAACTAGGAGCAACACTAAACCATTCAAGTAGCTATATAGTTGTTTGGACTTAATTTGTTGAACTTACAACGATTTGATAACTGAACTTAAAATGTTTAGGTTACTAATACTTTAAACGTTTGACAACACAAATAATGTGCATGATTCTATATAGTCCTACAGTTTTAGTAACCATATTGTTTCAAAACATAAATGGTTTGCTGCAATCAGTTTTCTTAGTTTGAGTTAACTGTACTTATCTGGGTTTACAGTGTAGCAATCCACATTGTTACCATCATACACTAACAGAAATAGCTCTCTCTTTTTTTCATTCTCAGGAAAATGAACATTACAATCAATTTGACAAATGGTTTGCACTGGGTTGTCAATCTTGAGGCTAATTTGAACCTTTTGGTATCATTAATGGAATAAAGTAAACTGCACTTCCATTAAAGAATGGCCTCGATGAAACTGGCAATGAATCAAACTGTATTTGTTCCTGATAACGTAGCCTAATTGAAAAAAATCTTTATAATCTCACAGGTTTTATGTGAAGGAAATGGATTGGAATCATTAAGTTCACAAAAGATAACAGATAATGGCCAATTTAGTTTAAATTTAGCTGAAATAAATCTCACGAAGCCCAGACTGGAACGACTTACCTGCAACCCTAATCACAAGCTAAACCAAATGCACAATCTTCAGATAAGATAAGAGATATGTAACTCACATTTTCAAATAAGAGCTTATCCTGGTCACTGTTCTTGGCTGTCTAAAAGTGGGAGAAAATAGGTGTGATGGATGACCGAGGGACAGACAGGGCTTCCCATGAGGCCAAGCTGGTGTCTAATCAATAGACTAGCAGTGCGGCCTGGCTGGAGGGCTTCATATCAATCATAATGCACAAGCCTCGTATTCTGTCCTCATCTCAGTGACAGCACACACTTGGCCGGGGACGAGCCGTCTCATCTATTACTCTTGGCAGATGGACCACAGGCAACTGAGCGGACACAAAGGGCTGTCAGAATGGGAGAATCTCTCACTATAGGAAGAAATTTAAAGTTTAGCCCATTACACTGAAGAGCGAGTTGAGAAACACCGAGAAATAGAGCCAGACCTTGCCTTGTAGGAGCTCCTTCATTCCTTCCAGGAACAAAGGTGTGTGTCCTCATCCTGTGTGTAATTTGAGAGGTTTGTCCTGCCCGGCTCGCATCCTCACAAAACAGATGCCATGCAGTATAATCTAAATGTGGCACCAGGATTATCAACACATTGCTCTTGTCTGGCTTCCTAGAGCACGGCATACAAAATGAGTGCCCTGGTAGGATGTCTCTACTGCGGTAATTTGGGGCCACCTGGTGGTGTAAGCCAGTTAGAAACGTGCACCTGTTTGCTGCATGTTTTTTTTTTTAAACCACCCTCTGTGCCAAAAACAGAGCTGTGGGGTTGAGGAAAGGAACAAGGTGTTCCCAAGCTCAAAACAATCATATACCAAGAGAGTCAATTAGCCAAAGTGCTGATCTTCTGCTTGTTTATATGCCGTTTGATGATGTGCGTTGTGTATTTAAAATTCACAATGCTCACCAATGGAGTATAAGAAAAAAATACATTTAAACATTTCCACAATGACTTGAATGTTTTTTTTTCCTACATGGATCCATTAATGTGTTTGGAACATTACTAAGTGATTTCAGTCTGTGCTGACTCAAAAACATGACATGCTTGCTGCTGATTTCCCATTTCATAAAGCATCTTTTACACCAGGGGATCTCAAAACCAGTCATGGAGGTCCGGTGTCCTGTAAACTGTAGCTCCACCTTGCCTCAACACACCTGCAACGATGTTTCTAGTAAGCCTTGATTAGCCAGCCCAGGTGAATTTAATTGGGGTTGGAGCTAAAATCTGCAGGACACCTCCAGGACCAAGATTGAGAAACTGTATTACAACATCGCAAAGGTGCTGTTCTATATTTAGCCCTGAGTGTAAATTTGTGTAAACTTTAGTTTTCAATGTAATATTCTCTGCAATATTTTAATTTGTGACACAAGATCAGCATTATGTTGCACATGTTTGGCTATACAGCAAAGGTTGAATGGGTCAAAATGATTTCTTCTTTTACACCAGAAATAATTTGTTTCTCAACCACGTTCCTGGAGGACCACCAGCTCTGCGTATTTATTATATCTCCTTAACCAAACACCCGAATCAGACCATAGACAGAAACTGAAAAGCCTGTAATGGGTGTGAGAAAGGAGACATCCAAAACATGCAGTGCTGGTGGTCCTCCATAAACGTTGAGAAACACTACACTAGATTAGTAAATTAGGATCATGGGTCCCACTTTATATAGAGTGGCCCTAATTGCTATGTGCTTACTGTGTTCATATTGTATTGCAAAACACTTCTGGTGGTCTTGGGGTGGGACAAGGGTAGGGTTGGATTTATTTATAAGTTTACGGGTGGGTTAAGGTGTAAGGAATGGCGAACAGTGTAATTAAAGATGTAATTATATGCATGTATTTAACCAATCATAACTAAAATATTTTTTAAAAGGCATTGGCACCAAGTATATTGTAACATATTATTAAACTCATTGTAAACATGTTATATCAATGCCACTAAAGTTGGACCGGATCATGCACCATTAGAAAAGTTTGTAAATTTTCTTATTTTAAGACTTGCTGAGCAATTAATTTAGACAACTTTAAAGATGAGTCTCAACATTTATACTATTTTTCAAATATTTGCAACTTGATGAAATATTATCTTGTGAAGCTTACTTTTTATTATTCAAACTTTCAGTTTTAATTTGAGGTCTCAATTTCGAAAAGTATTCTCACTAGTTTAGCGAACAAGAAAAAAAAATGCTTTCAACCCCATTTGCTGTGTCCATGTTGGAAATTTGCAATGAATGACATTCAAGTCAAATATTACGAAGGAGGAACCCTTACGCCCAATATCAAGCTTTACACAACAAAAGGGCGCATAGCCATTATGCACTAATTCTTTCTCACCTTAATGTTCAACAGTGATGGTCCTAAAACTCCATGGGCCCCAATTGTGCAAGACAATCAAAAAACCCCTCCTCCCAACTCAAAACAGTATAAACAGTGAGATGAAAGTCGATCTCAGCATTTTAAATGTACTTTCATCAAACATCTAAACAATAGTTTTGGTACCAGATGCACTGGGCTCACAAATAGTAGCATATACATTTAAAATGGATCAAAAATCAGTCACCTTAAATCTACTGAACAAATTTTTGATCCACTTCAAATGTTTACTACTGTACAGACAACTACAGACTTAATTTAAAATGAACTAAAATCCAAAGTAAAGTGTATAATGTACATTTAAAGTGTTTTAAAAGCTTAGTTTCAATTTCAATTCAATTTCAATTCTTCTTCAGTACGCCAGTGTATTTATTTATTTTAATAAAGTTACATTACTCAATTACAAACCATCACTCCTAAACATTTGCACAATCCCCCTTACAAAAAAACCCACACCACATAGAAAAAATGTGATTAATAGTAAAACAGGATGTCTGCAAATATGTTTTTTCAAATATAGTATAATGAAGCTCAAAACAACAACGCATAAACAAACAACAAATGAACACAAAATATCAGATTTAAGTTTTAATAGTAAACACAAGCTTAGGCATTTAATACAATCAATATTTACAAATTATTTCTCAAAATATAACTCATACTACAGGAGCTCTGAGTGCACTTGTCAATTCACATTCAAGTATTACCACAGTTACCCAGCAGTGGTGACCAGGCAGCCATGTGGCTTTGTCCCAAGGCTCTGAGTGGGTTGCACAGACCGCTTAGATCCATCGAGGAAGGTCGGCAACCTGTAAAAGTCTCTCAAAACACACATGCATCCGTTGGCAGAACAATGCATGCACACTTCTCACAAATTACACTGCGACAGTATGTGACTGCAAACGCTCTTACACCGCGTACACAATGAGTGGAGCGGGTTTACCTGCTGGCCACGTGCTGGTGGGCGTGGCTTACACGTCATCGCGCAGCTGTGACGCAGAGCGTTCCGTCTCCCCGAGTTGGAGTCTGCGCAATGCTGTGGGACAAGGAGAGCCGACAAAATGAAACCACATTCAACTCTCAATAAGCATCTCAAACATTTTGCGTTCAACGCCTTGGTTTCAATAAAACACTGTTCGATATTATTTTACAGGGCTAACCATTAAAACAACACGCACATATTACGGTCTATGCGTTCACAGCTGCCCGGTCTTCTCTTTCCGACGAGATCAAGTCAGGTTTCAGGGGAAACACCTCAGATTTCATTCCTGAAGAACAGCTCCTCGAAGTCTCGCTGCTGGAAGTCCAGCGATCTTTCGTAATCAGAGTCCGACGATGAGAAATGCCTTTCATTAAATGGCGTACGACTCACACCACACTCCTCTATCGAAACATCTAGCCGCTCTGCATACTCAATGTCCATTAAGTACTGCGTGGTGTTTCTTGGTGCCATGGCTACAGACGGTACAAATCTCTGATCGCCCGCAGCTGCTCTTTCGACACGGCCTGGGCTGAGCTGCGGTCTCCTGGATGACCAGGCCCGGACGCGTACCCTTCTTTCGTCGACTTTTGCTTGAAGAATTGTCCTTTTCTTTGATTTTGACCATTTCTGTTTATGATCAGGCGCGGTCTTGATGTCCTTCTGGTAGCTTTTCTTCATAGTGATGATTTCAGGACACATTACCCCCAAAAAAGTATTTGGTTGTACAAAAGAGCTATAAAAATTAGCGAGAGTTAAAGCAGAATAAAAAAGGCCTCTTGTATTCCTAAACAAAAAGACTTCGACCAAGGACGGAAGTTTCAGCTGTTGTCTCTTCAACGATCGTAAGAAAAACGTGGCTAAAAACGTCTGTCTCACGTACTCATAAGAAACTTGCGGATGTGACGTTTATCGCCGGCAGCGAATCAGCTTTCACCTCTTCTTTTTAGGCGGTGCTGAGCGGGGTTTGAAACAATGGACTAAACCATTTGTGCTCCATTAGCAACTGTTTGTTTGTCATTTTAAGAAAAAAATTCAACTTAAAACACGAGGAAAAGTATTGTGAACTTTTCTACAAACAAAACAATTCACCGAATATGTCAGGAATAGAGTTTCGCTTCTATTTTAATTATTCGTTTTTAGTATGGTCTGTCGTGTTAAATGAGAACAAATCTGATTATAAACAGTAAAAATACTCAAAAGGGGAATTGGGTTATTTTTATGTGAGAACAAAATTAGAGAATCTTATTATTTCTGGTATTAATTTTACTGGGCAGAGCTGTAATAATAAGATTTTAAGAATGTTAGTAAATACACAGCTTTTCCCTTCTAAAGTTAAGGACAGACACCTTTTCCCCCCTGAAGACAATGTGGTTAGAATTTGAACAAGATTTCTCTTTTCCACTTCTACCAAAGGCAAAAGAATTTCAGCTTTAAATTACTGACGATATGTATCCTTGTAATAAATTCCTCAGACATAGATTTAGTGTGAATTGTAGGCTAACATTTGTATCTTTTGTGAAGCACACTCATTAGAACATGTTTTATTTATGCACATTTTCAAAAAATGTTATGGGATGAAATTTGTGTTTGGTTACGATTAAAGCATGAAATACTTGATTTTTATTTTAAAACTGTAATTCATTCATGTATTCATTTTCTTTTCTGCTTAGTCCCTTTATTAATCCGTGGTCGCCACAGTGGAATGAACCACCAACTTAACCAGCACATGTTTTTACCCCCATTTTAAAACTGTAAAACATTAATATTTTTGTCAGAATTCTGATCTGGAATTTTTTGGTTAACAATGTTGTGAAAAAAATATTTCATCCATAATTGCAAATAAAAAAAGAAAGAAAGAAAAAAACTTTTTTTGCTTTTCCAGAAAGATATTTGTCTTCTTCAATTCTTTAAAGCTTCTGTGACATAAAAAACCTGTAAACTGTGTAGTCTGGTAAAGGTATTTTTTGATGATGAACCCCCTTGTACTATATTGCATTGTATTTTGCTATTTATTTTTATTTATATATGTTTTTTTTTCTTTTGTTTGTGGATGTTGCTATTTGGACTTAGTTGATAAATATGTTTTTACGATTGGTTTTTATTTATTTATTTATTTATTTATTTATTTATTCTGTATGTTCTTAATTAATTTTAAAAAAGTTGTTACTCATTCCACTTTCCTGTGCTCAACTTCCCCGTTAAGACAATTGATTTATATATATATATATATTTAAAATACATATGTTGCGAAAAACATGTTGAAGAACATCCCCAAAACATTTAAATATACAATGAACTTTAGCTTAATTTGCGTGACTGACCGCTCCAAAATGTCGGCGCCCTTGACAAAAGTGCTTGAATCGTTCTACAGCCTTCTTTGTACTTGAGAGTCTTACGAAACAAACTTAATTCGAAAGATATGTGAAACAAACTGCATCTAATCTTTTCTCATCAACACGACAGTAGTTATTTTGACTCTAAATCTATAAAACATTTATTAAGCGACTGTATGATCATTTTTGTACAATCGAGATTCCCAATGAATTACAGTGCAGCCGATTTATTAAGAATCGTATGGTTCTATGAATATATTTACTAATTTAAAAGGCCTATGATAGTATGTAAAGACACATCATACAAGTAAGAATCTAAATACTTTAATAATAAATAATTCACGAGCCACATGTTGCAGCGAAACATATTATTTATATTATAATATCACACAACTCCATTAGGTGGCAGTATATAGTTTGTGTTCGCAGTGAACCAACAGCAGAAGAAATGAACGAAACCCTCCATTTTCTCTTCTAGTGCCCTTCGCTTGTGCACTAGCGCCATGAGTAGCGCACTTGATGACTCAAAGACAACAGACACAAGTATGGACCACGAACTTTACACTGTACAGAGTCCCTCCGATGACATTAAGGATGGCCCAGAGCATTCAGAATTCATTTATAAGAGTGAGTAGCAATCATTTCGTGCATCTAAAGTGTCATTGCATTCAATTATCTCTCCCATTTTTTTAGCAGTTTAGCATTGGGCTGGTCATGTAAATTGGATGCATGCATTATACAAATCACGTGTTCTACTTTTATTAAAATCTGCACGTGTGTGTTTATGTGTGTGTGGTTCAAGTGTCAAATGAAGAGTTTGTCAGATTCGTGAAGTTACGAGTGACCAACGATGCACTTTTCACTGGAAAGAGAAATTCTTCAACTCTGGCTTACAGGTAAACCGGGCATCACCAACCCTCAGTTACACACATGCATACTCACCCATGCAGAAGTCCATGCAGGAAAAAAATAATTATGCTGTAGATGTTTGTACCAGCAGCCTGCAGGAATTTTGATGTGAATTCTGCATTTGTGTGCTGTAGGGCCATCCTGAAAGAGCTGGGTCTGCAAAGGGAGATTTCTGCCAGCCAGGCCAGGAGAAAATGGGAAAACCTTAAGATGAAGTATAAGGTATGCTGATATACCACTTTATGAGGGTGCAGTTTTCAATTCTGGCCCCCCAAGCACATCCACATCTTGGATATTGGCCAAATTTAACACACCTGAATCAACTCACAAGCTCATCAGCTGAGGACTCCACGAATCTTTTAATCAGTTTCCTTCAAATAATGATATATCCTATTGTAAATTACAGATACATGTGTGTGAAGAGTATGTATTATATTCATACACAAATGAAAATAACAGACAAAATTAACTAAAATTACATTTTTAACATTAACATTGTCATTAAACTAAATGATGACGAATCATGGTAAATAAAGGTCAATTTCAAAATATCTATGTGAAAAATATTAAATCAATACAATACACATGGTTTACATAAATATGATATTTTACAATTAACATAAATATATAAACAACAATACAAAAATATGAACTAAATGACATTTACTAGAATGACATAAATGAATTATTATTAATAAAAATAAATTGTAAATATTTCTATATATATATATATATATATATATATATATATATATATATATATATATATATATATATACATATATATATATATATATATATAATATTCATCACATATTTTAATTATTACTAGTAATACATTTATATTAAAAATATTAATATATTTCTAAATCATTTATCACATATAATTTATCATATATATACATGTGATGAAATGTTTATAAATATATTAATATTTAAATGCACATTAATGCTAAATACTACATTTACAATTTCATGAATTTATATAAATAAACAACATCAATAGCAATTACTAAACATTTAAAGATGAATATATTAGAATATATTAAATAGATGTACAGTACATATCTATCTATAATTAGCAGTATATTTTATGCAGTAATAAACAATTCATGGGTAAACATATTTAAAGCTAAATGTTAAATAATGTTATAACAATATCATAACATTAATACAAAATATGCAAAACCTGAACTAAATTGTATTATATTTTAAATTGCTAAACTTTAAAATGTCATAAAATCATAGTAATACTAATATTACTACACTCTACATATAATTAAAATAAACAAAATTAAATGAGATTTATCATCAATAAAAAGTCTTATATCTCAAAACTAAATTTGAGGCCTTAAAAAGTCCTAAAGTTATTAAAATATTGTGTTGCAGGTCTTAAAACTTTTTAAGCAGGTCTTAATTTTCCTTTGCTCACGTGTAGCTACTCATCCAATAAATGAATAAAGAAACTTTTAACTTTTTATTTGAAAATGTACTTTTTAACTCTATTTACCACAATGTACAATAACGTTTGTTTAAAAGGTTTCCATGTATTTACTGCTGAGATAGCTCACCTGAACAGACTGTTGTGCATACATTTAGTTTAATATGGTTTTTAAAACCTTTAACATATTTTTTGATTTTTAAGAAAAGGTTATGTTGAAAAAAGTGTATGTATGCAACAATATTTAAAATATTTTGCTCTGAATTAGTTAAAATACATTTTTTTTAAATCATTAAATTATTATTATTGTATTATTGAATTTATTAAATTATAAAAAGTTTGATAGGGCAAATAAAAATAGCGTTTAGCCCTGTATGAAGGTGCTTTCACACCTAGACTTTTGTTTCAGAACTTGGCACGTTTCCCCAGTTAGCACGGTTCGTTTGGCATATGTGAATCCAACAATCGCGCTCAGGCCCGCGCCAAAAAATCGGTCCGAGATGGCCTGAATAAGGTGGTCTCGGCTCAATTGAAACAAAATCTGGAGCGGATCGATTGTAGTAAGAAAGCAATACAATCCGAACCAGGCCATATCACAGTGTATTATGAATATGTAATTGGCATAAACGGCTATATGAAGAGAGAATTATGAGTAGGGTGGGATGTTATTCTACCAGTAAATGTGTTTCATGTCAGATACGAAAGTGAAAGCATGTTAACTATTAACGAGAGCTTTTTATCTGTCTTGGTTTATCTGTTATTTCTCTCTATAATGTAAAGCCTATAATTCATAACTGCTATGTATGAGAAAGTCTTACCTCTGATTTATATTTGGTGTTGATGTCTGTAGGTGTCACCATTCAAAATTTAAGCACAGATTTTCGTTTATATAGTTTAATTGCTCTTTGTCAAAAATTAAAATAAGGACGCATGGCAGATCAGTGGGACTCTGCAAAATAAACCCTGAAAATCTGACCAATGTGATGAGAGTTTACTCGCTTGTTACTTGTTTTAGCTCTTTTGGTCCGTTTAGAAACTTTGCCGTGTGAAAGCGAACCACACCAAGAACAAAGTGCAACAATGTAACAATTGTAATCCCTGTTTTGGAACAAGAGAGTCGATCCACAGGTGTGAAAGCACCCTGAGTCTAGAATTGCATTCATAATGGTCTTAAAAATGTCTTAAATTTAACTTGCTGAAACCTTGATCAATAAATTTACAGCATATATTGATATTATGTTTAGAATTATGTACACATAACTATAAACCCCACACACTGTCATCACACTCTACTTCTGCAAGCTCATAAAATGTTTGTGTCTTGTGTGTTTCAGGAAATGAAGAATCCTCCGCCTGGTGTCTCGGTGAACCCCACTAACTGGCCATGGTTCTCCCTCATGGACGACGCCATGGAAGGAAGACTTGTGGGGAGCGATGTCACGCTAGACACTTCTTCGGTGGGCGACGACAGCGAGTATCGACCAAACAACTCCACGCGCAGGAGGAGCAAAAGGGCCCGCGAGCCAGACAGAAGCGAGATCGAGCTGTTCGTTGAAGAGGATGACATCATGTCTGAGGAAATGGGGCGAGACAGAGGGGATCTAGACAGAGACAGAGATGAGATGGAGCACGAAAGGGCCATCCTAGAAAGCGATAAAGCAGCTATTGAATATGAAAGGATGGTGCTAGAGCGAGAGAAGATGGTGCTAGACAGAGAACGAGCGGGAGTGGAAAGAGAACTGGCAGCACTGGATCGAGACAGAGCCTCTTTGGAGAGGGAAAAAGCCGCTGTGGAAAGAGACAGGGCCTCTGTGGAGTATATCCGAGCTCAGTTGGAAAAAGACAGAGCGATTCTTGACAGAGAAAGGGCTAAGCTTGAAAGAGAACGGGCCATCCTGGATCAACAGCGTGGGATTGAAAAAAGCGAGCAGACGGTTAATTTAAACGACAATTCAGAAGGAACTGACACCTCGATTCCCTTAGTGATGGAGCCGGCTTCATTAGAAAGGAGGCAGAAATTCCTCAACCTGTTTGAAAAGCTCATTGAGAACTTCTAAATCAGAGCTAAACGTTCTGAGTGGGACCCATTATGTATATTTCATTATTTTTGTACACCTTCAGTTTGAAGTAAAACCGTTTTCTGTTCCAGAAGTGGATTGTGCTGTGTTACAGTGATTGATTTGTGTCATGTTAGTTGCTGTGCTTGTTTAAAAGAGCATCTTTGAAGTGCTAAATGCCTTTGACAACTTGAGAAGGTAACAATGAAAACGTTAAGCCACCTCTGTTTTGGAGAGGTCATCAGAAATCTTTATTCAGGTGTGATTATTTCCATACAAAACACATAATGCTTAACTAATATTTACCCCCAATCCCCCCGCAAATCATTGTCAAACCCTTTGGCCAGAATACAACAGTTGTGAAAAGATCATCTTTGAAGCCATTGATCATTACAACAGCTTAAAATGTGATACCAAAATATTGCAGTTATTGTAAAATGTAAAAAAAAACGCTTATATATTTATATTACAGTACAGACTATACAACAAATTCATTGTTAGAATGCTTCTTTTATTGCATTATAGTCAAATTAACCTTTCAAGAAGTTAATCGTGAGCCAGCTTCAATTGGTTTAGGCTAATTACGATAAACATTTGTTAAATTCTATATGAATATTAACAGTATTTCATTTACAATTCAAACATATTTTTAAACAGTTTGGGCTGGCTATTGCACCTAGCCCTTATCCCACAACCAGTACAGCACACACAAAAAGAGGGTTGTTGCCTTGTTCAGATTTGCAGTTGTAAATAACTGACATCTTGTTTTCCTGATAGGTTCATTAGACTTTGATAAATAAAAACTTTCAGACTTCTGCATGTTTTTTGGTTTCTCTGAAAGAGATTGTTGATGAGTCTAGAAATCATTAATCCGGATACGATTACAAGCCTCTTACATTATGAAAAGTGTGCACCGTGTAAAAAAAGCATGAACACAAGCAGCGTAGAGTTGGAAGTGTCCACCAGAACTCCTTCGAGAGTGAGTTTATGTATTTTTGCCAACCTCCTTTAAAGACAGCCATTCATATCCATGTGTTTGCTTGAGCCCAAGGTTTTTTTTTTTTTTTTAAGAGAGAGGTACGCACAGAGGAGTTTTGATGCATATGCATACGTGTGAGTTTTTTATGTGTGTATTCAAGTGTGCATATTTAATTTTTTTTTACGATTTAAAAAAGGTTACCAATGGGGATACGTGGCAAACATATGTAGGCCTGTGGGGTTCTGCTGAGATTGATGGGATTACCGTCCAGGCGAACATCCTCAAGTGCATTTCGGATGTAATTTAAGTCGTGTGGGTTGCAGAAGGTGTCTTCGTGTATCATCTGGATGTTATTATTCTAAAAGATAAAACAAAGTTTAAGATGTGGCATGAATGTCATGGCATCACTATTTGCTAGAAAATTACTATCTATTAATATATTTTTGAATTAAATCTTTGCATGAATGACGTTTCTGTTAGGTGACGAGTGCTTTAGATGTCCACAAGGTGGCGCCCTTGAGGTGGGAGTACAGGTACCTGTAGGTGAAGTGAGCGCAGACTCTCAGGCAGAGGAACTGGGATGTGGTCTATGTTGTTGTCCGTCAAGTAAAGGTAAAGTAGCCCTGGCATGTCCTGAAAACAGTAAAAGTAAGTAGATAAGCAACATTTGGTAAGTTCAACATCTAGGTTGAATTAATAGCATCAGTTACATAAGGATTCATGCTTTTCCTGCTGTCCGTCCAGGTAGCAAAGAATTCCGGCCCAGATTTGACATAAATCTGGCACAGCAGGCATTCGTCTGGCACTGACATACAGCATGTGGGCCAAACATTGCCCTGGTTTAGTAGAGGTGGCACCATCTTAAGGTGGCACACAATACTTGGGCCAGATGTTAATAGTTGATAGGTGAGCCATGAAGTTTGGCCTATCTTGACCCACATTTAATAAAAAAATCATTATTTTCAAATAAAAAAAAATTTTTATCAATCAGGTCACTTCGAGAAAAAGCATGCCCATAGCTCACCTAAAGGGCATTGCTTCATGGGGTTATCAATTTCATTGCAGTCGCAACACACCAACATATCTGGTCCAGGACATGGCCCAGATATGGTCCATTTTTGGCCCTTGTCTGTAAGCCAGATCTGGTCCAGTCATGTACCGTAATTCACTGTGGTATGTGGGCCAAGCAAAAGCTGATTTTGTGGGCCAGAGAAATTTGCTATGTGGGTGTTTTTTGTCTATTTTAAAAGGATAGTTCACTTGTTCCAAACCTTCAAGATATTCAGCTATCTTCTAAATATCTTATGTTCAACAGAATAAATAATCTCACAAGGTTTCAAACAATCTCTCAAGGTTTGAAACCACTTGAAAGTGAGTAAATAAAGTGATTAAATTTTAGGGTGAACTACGATCATAAGTTGTTCCTTCATGTCTACTTGACCAACAGTGGGTTATGACAGGATAAAAGGACATTGTTTACAAGTAAAACTGAGCAGCAAATGTCCCTAATGCAATTTTTTTCTATCAGGCCTCTCACCTTGAAAGCTTCTCTCTGGATGCCAGTGCTGCCCAGATGGTTGTGACAGACGTCAATAAGGGTCATGGATGGTGGCAAAGCTGGAAGCTGTCTAATATTGTTCTCTCGTAATATCAACTCCTCCAGGGAAGGAAGGCCAAAGAAAGCATCATCATCAATCCTGGAAATCCCGTTGCTAGTCAGGTCGATCTTTTTTAATTTATCTTTGTGATAACAAAGGACAAAAAGACCATTCAGAAAACAAACACATAAAGATGATAGCATCACATGTTACTAAAGCAGGGGTGGCCAGTTTCAGCTCTGTGGAGCCAAAGTCCTGCATTCCAGCAATAATCGTACAAACCTGAACAAGCCTGTCAAGGTCTTATGGCTACTAGAAAGCGGCTGACAGGTGAGGTCGAAACTTTGCAGGACAGTGGCTCTCCATGAATGAACTTGGTCCCCCCTTTGCTATATATCAGATCAGGCTGTTTTTTCTAAGGACTGCAATCTAAATGAACTGTATGCGTTCAATCAACATGACATGCAATCTTACTTGAAAATCTGATGTATTGTATGTGTGTTTGTTTGTGTTTTGTTAGTGATGATTGACTTAGACTGAAATGTGATAAGAAAGTGCTTTTTGGTTTCCCCTTTAATACACATACTCAGGTTGGCGAAGTCAGACTTGCTGATTCTGGAAATTTTATTGTAGCGGGAATAAAAGTGAGTGGTATCTTTGGAGAGGGGAGGAACACGGTCCAACTTGAGGTCATCACAGTACACAGATCCAACCAGACAGGTACACAGCACACAGACAGACATACCTTACCACCAAACCAGCCAGTGGCATTAAGAAAACAAACAAAAATACATATTAAAACACCAAAACTGGACTTATGCATATGCAGACGTTGCCTATTAGGATATACAAAGCAAACATTTTTTGCACTTTTGGAGCACATGAACATGTGCTTCTTAAAGTATGTCCAGCTCCTGATAGGCCACCTTTAGTTCTATATCTAACTAAACACATGAACCAATCAAGATCCTCATGGTCAGAAACTTCCAGACAAATGTGTTAAAGCTAAACTCTAGGTTGGTGGCCTTCCACTAGCAGGACTGAAACCCCAGAAATTTTACGTATTACATTAAGTATAACTTTTAAACAACATATTTTCTATCAGGTAACACACTGAATATATCAGTATGGGAAAGCTAAAAAAAAATACATACATTATGCAGTTATGAAAACAATCAATTTCAGTTACGCTAATAATGATTAAATACAAGCAAAATACTGACCTGTTATATCTGGGTAAATATCTGTGTCAATATCAGGTATGCCTGACCCTATATCACCCCCAGTCCCCTCCAGGGGAGTGGTTGGGGTGGTTAGGAGTATCTCCTCCTCTTGTTAAACACAACAATATTAAGGTGTTAGGAGACAGGTTAGCACATGGACATATTAACAATGGAACACGACAGACAGTGGTTAATTTTGATAATGGTATGTTATAATGCATTATTGTTGTTATAAAGCAAGTGAACACATTTATCTAAAATCGGCCCATTAAATGAAGTATATAGGTTTCTAAGAACAATAATATCAGATTATTTGAGCTGACTGGTGCAACAATAGCTTCAATAGTGAATGTAATCGTATTTTAATCTGGTCTCCAAATCCATTCCTGATCTATAGAAATCACCCCTTAACATACCTAGACCTAGAAGCTGTAAAGTGATGTATTGAAATCATGATACTAACCTTCATCTAAGTCAGGAATTAACACTGTAGTGGTGAAATCTGGGGCCTCAGTCACCTCAGTCTCTTCTGGGCTCCCAGACTCTCCTGACTCCTCATGTACCCCAGACTCTTCAAATATGTCAAAGGGTCCAGGCTTTCTAGATTCCTCAGGCACCTCAAAGATCTCAGGCTTTACAGTCATTTCATGTGCCTCTGAGGTCTCTGGCTGTCCAGACACATCAGGCACCTCTGAAATCCCAGATTCCCCAGATATCTCAGGTACCCCAGTGGTCTCAGATTCTCCAGATACTTCAGGTACCCCAGAGGTTCCAGATTCTCCATATACCTCAGGTACCGCAGAGGTTCCAGATTCTCCAGATACCTCAGGTACCCCAGAGATCCCAGATTCCTCAGGTACCCCAGAGGTCCCAGATTCTCCGGATACCTCAGGTACCCCAGAGGTCCCTGATTCTCCAGATACCTCAGGCTCCTCAGAGGACCCAGATTCTGCTGGCATCTCAGGTACCCCAGAGGTCTCTCCTGAAACTTCTGGTACCCCAGACTCTCCTGACACCTCAGGTACCCCAGAGATCCCAGGTTCTGCTGACCCCTCAGGCACCCCAGAGGCTCCAGACTCTCCTGACTCATCAGGTATTCCTGATGCCTCAGACACTCCTGATACCTCAGGTACCCCAGAGCTCACAGGCTCTCCAGATGCCCCTGAGACTTCAGGCTCTCCTGACCCCTCAGGTAACCCAGATGCTCCAGATATCCCAAAGATTCCAGACTCCCCAGAATCCCCAGAGGCCTCATGTGGACCAAATTCAGGTATCGGATGGAGCTCCTCCTCTTGTGAGAGACAAGGTAGTGTAGCAAGAAAGAAATTAGTCTAATCAACATCAGTAATGCTATTAAATTAATGCTCAGTAATGCTTATAATCAGCAATGCCGAAAATGATGACTCGTTAACCATTTTTTAATCAAGATATTAAACCAATACAAGCAAATGATTGAGAATAACAGATCAACCCTAGTTGCCTAAAAATCTCCAGGAAATCTCTTCTCACTAACGTCTAACATGTTACACATACTTGGCACAGCTTCATCCACAGAAAAAAAGAAATACGCTGAAGTAATCAAGACTCCAATTAATCTACACTTTCAGAAAAATAAAATTAACAAAATTGTACCTATAGGGGTAAAGCATCATATCAGCAAGGCAATACCTCAAATGTGCTCAAAAATGTTAGAGGTAGACACCTTAAGATCAAGTTGTTGTACCCCTTAAAGTACAAATTTTTTACATTTCGTCTGATATTAAGTTGGTCAGGCAAACCAAATTCCTGAGTACTGACCTTCACCTGAGATAAGTATTATGCCTGAACCAGAAAGACCAGAGACTCCAGAACTAAGATCCTCTGAGTCCACAGAACCCGATATGCCACCAGAGGCCCCAGAATATCCCAAGCCCAAAGGCTCTCCAGAACTGGAGGCTTTCTCATCTTGTAAGTCTCCAGAGGGCACAGCGTCTCCAGAGCTCAAGTCACCAGATATCTGAAGGATGTCAGTGGGTATCAGACGAAGCTCCTCCTCTTGTTCAAGACAAGGTTAGGTGTTAGAACAGTTATCAGAATTAGAATTACACTTAGAACCACATGGACTGGTTCAGCAAACACTGGGTGATGAACTGGATTTGATGCACATAAAAAGCAAAAGTTAAAAGATTATTAAACTCATTTAACCAATCAAATTGCCAGTTAAATGGAACAACAGCACGATGAAATGGTTGGCAGGCAAGTAATGACAAATAGCAGTGTGTGTGTTTGTCCATGCATGGTACAGACCTCCCTGAGCACTAGGGCCCATCAGAGTCCCTGATGCCCCAGAGCTTGGTGGAATAAGCTGAGGCTTTATAGGTAATTCCTCCTCTTCTTTCTCTTCCAATGAGGCACTATGTGATGACTCAATGCCCTCAAATGGATCAACGCGGGTAATCTCTATCTGCAAGATGAATTTAGGTCAATACACCATGCTTATATTTTCAGACTTTACAAATGACAGCAAGACTTTCTCAGCCTACCCATCATTAAAATACATTGCTGACAGTGTTGATTTTAGACAACATCTCAAGTTATACTCTTGAAGGATCACATCCTTGTGGAGCTTTACTCTTCATTAAAAACAAACTAGACCAGCAAAACAAGATCTTGGGGATTTTTTTGTTTGTTTGTTTTTTTTAAAGGAAACTTGAGTAACACTCTTTAGCTACCCTGAACTGATTCACACCTCAGGTTTTTATCACCAGTTTATTTACACCTTAAGTATAAATTATCCATACATTTCTACCTTACGAAAGTATAAGGGTCTTGTGGAAACATTAACACATTTGGATGTTTAGTAAGAGTGTGACTTAGGATGTTCTTTTGAAAGGATAATAAGCTGTTCACAGGGTTTCAGGCCTATTCAATCCAATCTTCCAAAGCAGCCTGCTTTCTTACAATTGCTAATTCTTAAAAGGCGAGACAAATTCAGACCATATTGATGTGCTGATTTGAAGAAAAATCTAATTCATTTAAAAGTACTCTCAATATGTTGTGATGTTGATCAATGTTGACAGCTTTCTTTAGTATTCGATTCCCCAACAGTCCAGAGTGGGGAGCTGTAAAACCATTCACAGTTTCATCTGCAAGCAGCAGCTATACTCTTGAAATGGTCCTTGTGGAACAAAGACATTCATGGTAGCAGGTAAAATCCATATTTCTGCACATAATCTTTCAAATGAGAGGTCTCATTTGTGTAAAGTGTGGTCAACTTGAACCAAAACTAACTGTAAAGTAGCTTTAAATCTGTAACTGTTAAAATGCATTGCATTAATAATTCTCTCAACAGCCAAAAGCTACTCATGGTTAGAGTCTGAAAAAGAGGGAGACTTTGATAGGGCTTACTTAGAATACCCCCACTTTTAATACAGTAACAGTTCTAAACATGCTAAACTCTAAAAAGATGAATAAAAGATATTAACAAGGTGTGCATCAATCAACAGAGCTAGAGCGTCAATAAAGATACTGCGATGCGTAAAAACCTATTTTTAACAACAGCTTTTGACTCACATGCCTCTAAGCATTTGTGTTTTAGTCACAAAGTCAGAATAAGAGTACATAAAATATAATTTTATGAAGAAATATTGTATGTTGTGTCATTTTTAAAAGTATTTCTTCTCATTCCACTGAATACATTTTAGCAATCCAGCAGTTTGTTTGTTCTGTTACTCAAAACTCACTAAGGGGTCATTAGGTTCAAAATGAAGAAGCCTACAAAGAAAATTAGATTTTTTTTCTAAATCTGAGAATGAAATAGATGGTTCAACAGAGAGAAAGGGAAGCGTAAACCTCTATATGGCATAGTTCTAAATAGTAATGACTATACATTGTACAGCTTTATGCTTTTTCACAATCCTCTGGAACATTTAGATGTGTTCACTTGACCTTTAGAAAACAAGATTCACACAGCATCTACTGTATACTAATAAAATACCACTTTACATACATTATATGTGGAAAAAAAGAAAGGCTAGCATCAGATATTCCAGTCCGATCTCACAAGGAAACGTAAGTATTTTACGTTTTGTCAGTTTATTGGCTAATACCTACGAATTCATACAAGTTCAGTCATATGAAAATGTACGTTTTTAAAAAGTAGACGTGGCAACTAACCCCACCCCTAACCCCAACCGTCATTGGGGGATGAGCAAATCGTACTAAATTGTTCGAATTAGATTGTATGATTTCATACGAATTAGCCACTAAATCAAAAAGTCACGAATTGCCATAAGATTGCGTTGGATATTCACAACTAATTGCACAAAAAGTTACTCCAAACTTACTCCTAGATCTAAACAAAGTATTAAGATGTGCTCGTTTATGCATGCTAACTTTCACCAGCTAATTGACATAAAAAAGTTGTAGCAGCAAATAAAATACAATACTACATTTCGGAATCATAATAAGTCACTCCAAAAGGCAAGGATCCACAAACATTCCCACAATTTATGTAGCATCAACAATATCCTGAAGAGATGAAAATGAAGCCTTTTACACAAGGAAAATGTGTTGTAACTCAAAAATCTGTTTTCAGTTGAGAGTTTAACTACATAACAGTCACATCAGGATCAAGTTAAGTTTCTTGGCTTTAGTTTGAATCTTTGAAAAATCCATCTTGGATTGTGCCAGTCAAACATAGTTCTTGTCCTTTTTTTTGCCATTCTGAAGATGATGAACTGGTTACTGTCTAACTGTTTTGCAGGGATGTTACTGAATAAAGTTGTTTACACCTGTAGCTTAACATTGGTCTAGGTAACCTTAAAGTGCTGGGCAGTGTATTTTCTGGGCAGAAATGTACAATATTTAATTTAATAAAGCATGCAAAGATAGGCAAAAGTTGTATTTTAATACCAGGCATTTACAAAATCATCATGGTCATCATGCGAATGCATTTTCAAATGGATTTCTAAAAGATCTTAAATGTGAGTGTCAATGCAATTACATTTAACATGCCATTTTGCTAAACCTTTGGCTATATGCACATGACCTTTTGCTACAAACAGCAAATGGTGTAATGATGGAAATGCAATGCCACCTTTCCTAAGCAGGAGTCTAAATGCCATTAGGAAATGTAACATTTGTATGATCATTTTGTTATAATTTCAACTTATGTTCCATTTCCAATACAATTTTGCAACTCATAAAGGCTTAAAACTAGTATATGTAATTTACATTTTAAAACTGTACAGTAAATTTATTTTGCTCTAACGTTTGCACATGGAGAAGAATGTCATGGAGAATGGAAATTGAAATACAGAAATGTATTGCTGATTACATTTCAACATGATTATTGGTACTCATATGTAAACATCACTGCATTTCTGTATTTCATTTTAGATTCTCTATGACATTCTTCTTCATGTACAAGCTTCGTGCAAAATGTAAATTAAACAATGTCGTTTAACTTTGATTATTGGTACTCATGTGCTATCGTAAATAAGACTATAAACTAAATAGATTGTTTTTCATGAAGGTACACTTGACTGAAAAGGTACTAACATTAGTATGCAGAGCCGATAACTGGTCTCAAATGGGAGGATGAGTAAATACAGGCTCGCATGCCCTCAGTGACCGACCCTGAAGCACAGCAGCTGGGTTAAAACCAGTTTCTAATGAAAATCATAAACCAAAGGCTGACATGGCTGAATATGATTATCCCCAGGAACATTTGGATCAGCGGAGCAAATGAAAAGTTGTCAAACACCCTAAAGCAAAACTGCTGCAATACATTCCTGCATTACAATTAGAACTCAGTCCAATGCTTGAGCATTAGCCATCTCAACCGGCTGGAGGAAACTAATGAATATGCAAAGAGAGGGTGCAGTAACCAGGGCCCAGAAATAAATAAGACCTAATTCAATCACTTAAAATGGGACATAGTTTGTAATGGAAATTTGCTAGTTTAAAATGAGGCAGCTTATGTAATGCAAATCCCATGATATTATATATACAAAATGATATCTGTTCACAGATATCTGCGAGAATTGCTAAAAACAATGTATTATGCATGCAACAGATGTATCGATGATTATTTTATATACACAACCTGACAAAAGCCTCGTCTCCGATCCCAGTTGTAAGAGCAACAAATAACAACTTGACTTCTAAATCATTTGGAAAAATGGCAGACGGTAGATTTTTCAGATGAATCATTTGTTCAACTGCATCCCAATCATCACAATAACTGCAGAAGACCTATTGGAATCCACATGGACCCAAGCTTCTTACAGATATCAGTCCAGTTTGTTGAAGGAAAAATCATGAATTTGGGGTTACATTAAGTTCGAGGCATTAAAGAGATCTGCAGAGCGAATGGCAACATCAATAGCCTGAGGCATCAAGACATTTTATTTGGGTAAATTAAGCGCAATCTAGAGGCCTTTGCCTTTTATATTAGCCACTTCTGATACCAAATGATCAACCAGAAGTCAAGTTATTATTCGTTGCCCCTAAAACTTGGATAGGACTTGGAAAGACTTTTGTCAGACAGAAATGAATTGTCATGTAAATGAATGCATGAAACATTTTTGTTGAAAACAATGATGAGTAAATGCCGCCCAAGCTGCAAAAAAAGTATTACCTCCAAATTTATGTTTGACATATGACTATCCATACTAATAAATCAATACATTTTATTCAAACTTTCCGAATTATGAATCAGAATAAAAAATCTCTCACCTCTGATTCATTTCCATCATAATAGTCCTCGTAGGCATTGTCGCCATCAACATTTTGGTCTAAATCCACATCGTTGTTGTCATCGTAATTGTGTAGTTCTGTTTGTCGGACGTATCTCGGGGGAGAGGCTGCTGCCACACACAGGACCAGGAGTACCCACATCAACCTCAGCGATACCATCTTCCTGCTAGACACAGAATCAGAAGAATTACCATTTTGTGAAATCTAAATGATAGATGATAATTGTTCTTTATGGAAACCATGTTGCCAGTGATGAACCATTATTATACTAAGTGTTTTGAAAGGAATGATTTTCGGCGAGCAGCTGGCTGGACAGTCCACATTAAATCTAATCACATGGTTTTACAACCTTATAGGTTGTACATGCACTTGCTACGCTTCTTCATAATCAAGACAGTTTTGTATTATCTTCTTTACATTTAACTTCTCAGTGGTCTTGTAGCCTAAATGGACAAAGACATTTTGTTTTGTTTTTTTAGAGAAAAAAAATTTTTTAATATTGATAAACTCTGTAATCATTAACAGGATGGATACTGGTTGTAATAGTGAAATAAAACCCTGTAAAGTCTTAAACTCAATCGCAAGATCCAAGAACCCCCTACCTAATCCATCGGCCATCTTGAATCCACTCAGTGGGTGCTTCTCAATTCTGATTTCTGCATCCTCACTTCCTTTCCTCTTGTTTAAGCTCCACCTCTACAGGATTCGAGGGAAGGATGCAAGGAAAAGGAGCGAGGACAGAGTATTTGAATGAAGTGAAATGATGTATCCTCGCTTCCTTTAGCATCACTTCAAGGCGTCATTATTTAATGGAAACTTTACACCACTGATTTAGTTCGCACGTCAAGATTCTTGAATATGTCAGATGTCAGTTATTTTTATTGTAAAAGTTTCAACCTCCACAATAAAACCAAAAATGGCATATAACAAATACTTCTTTAATGTTTTTTATTAGATTTTTCTTTACTGCACATTTTTTTCTGACAAATTTTTACTTTTACTCCTTACATTTTTAAATTGGGCTCATAACTTTTGTTTTATTTTAGTGTTATTATGTTGTGTGGAGCGACCTATAATATTTCTTGTCATTGCTTGATCTAAATGCCTTTTTGATACAATCAATCTATTTTTTGTCATTGTGGATGATACACAGGGCAACTTTTTGTTGGACAATATTGTAGAACGATGTTGCTTGGCTGCTTTTTTGCTTCAGCAAAAATTGCAGCAAAAAAAATTTTTACCCCAAAAAATTTAAATGTAAGTTATAAGTTATATGTAAGTATATATATATATATATATATATATATATATATATATATATATATATATATATATATATATATATATTAAGTATAGATATATATACATGATGTGTGGTTTAGTTACCAGCATAAAAACTAAAACTGGTAGTCATAAAAAACATAATAATTACATATATAGCGTCCCAGCAGCTACACAACATCATAAGACGGTAATATTGGGTTAGATTGAGGTCCAGGTGACCAAAATTCAATGTCTAGCCAGCATCTAAGGACAACGTTATTTTGACGTCCAATAACGAAATCATATTGTGTTGATATTCAGTTGATTTTAGGTTGGGTTGGAAAGTGACCAAAATCGAACATCTGATAGATGTCATAGTGGTGACATGCACACAACGTCAAGATGTAGGTTGGACGTTGGGTTCTGAGGTCAACCTGATTTTCATTTCCAAACAAAATCCAATGTCCCCACAATGTTGGGGTACGCTGAGGTACAACATCAATATGACGTCATGATGACGTCGTGTGCCAGCAGGGATGTTGTAGCAGACACTGTAAATAAAAAAGTTCTAATTTTTCACATTATTTTATAATGGTTCCAAGAAGAACCTGTAACATTTATGAAATCTTTCAAGTCTTAAGGCTTCAGCTTATTAAACATTAAAAATGGAACCATTCACTGAAAGGTATTTTGGAGATCCAAGACGGTTCTTCTACCTAATTAGGGCCATTGCTGGGTAAATTACAATTTTATCTATTACAAATCCATGTTAATATCGTAAATCTATTTGATCTTATTCTAACCCGAATTGCTTAGTATCATTTCTCATGGTAAGGAATGATAAGAGGCTGAGAGGACAGCAATGACCAGCTGGAGTGGAGGAAGTGAAGGGTGCGCTTGATGGACAAACCAAGTTCTGGTCCTCAGGGTGAGACGGAGAGAACTAGCTGAGAGAGGGAGGACTCTGACAGAGCCCCTTTATGAGTGTCTGTCTCCACACTCAAGTTCGAAATTCCACCGAGGTTTGTGGACAACATGGCAGTGAGTTACGATCTCTCTCTATCTCTCTTTCATACACCAACACACACACATCCACTTTCGGCGAAAGGCTATTTTTGGGGCAAAGCTGCACTCTAGAAAACACTTTGTTTTTAGACATATTTCAACCCCCTATGGACTTCTGACAGCCAATCAACACATCATGAATTGAGATTATATAGTAATGATATAGATTTGCAATCACGTATAGGAGTCCCAGTGAAACTTCAGTGTACCAGTGTCTGACAGCTCGAGCAGGGAAATACTGAAAGAGGGACTATGCTGCACACAGAGCTCTGCTTTTACACACTGTTTGCAGTGTGTAGACCCTGTGTGTGTATGTGTATGTGAGAACTGACTATACCAATGTTGTTTTTGGCTCTACCCAACAGCATTCCACATGCTCATTGATTTTAAAATTTCTTCTACTCTAGGGATGCTGCCAATATTGCCTTCATGGCTTATTTGCTTCCAATATGTCAAAATACAAAAATACACAAGTGTTCTAGAGACATATTATCCATTTGGCAACCCACTGGGGATTTTTATTTTAGCTTAAAAACTGAAGGAATCATTTAACTCTGAAAACACTGACTTTCACTGAACACAGTATTCAGTAGCAATTTACAGCTCTTCTATCACATTTTCTCAATATATACTTTTGAATTGTAAACAGTAAGCCATTACAGAATCAACTAGCAGAAGCAGAACCATCTCCCCATTAAAACATCAAATGGCAAGTGACCGGTATAATGAGAATACTTAAATTGGCATCATTACAGCACAGGTCACATGTTATCCCACTTAAAACTGTTGTAAATCACTTCAGTTCCAACATTATAAGCAGAAATATAGTCATGAAGATTATGGAGAATAGAAGCATTGTATATAATTAAAGCCAGAAATCCACATGACAAAATGGAAAATCCATTGCCCTCAGTAGAATCAATCAGGTGAATGACTTTACCTTATTAAACGTGCATTATTTTTACAATTACAAGGAGATTCATCATGATCAGGCAGTGCATATCTATATTATATCATAAATGCAGTCATGTAGAAGGCAAAAATTATCATCAATCAAAAGCCTGAGTACAGTAAGTGAGAATCATTTTAGCTTAGCTTCAGTGTCCAGTACCACTGAAGCCAAGAAGGGGAAGCCCTTGGGTCCGGTCTCTGTTCCTAAGCACAGCACTAGCATTTAGAAGAACATACAGTAGAACCCTTACCTCTTTCTCCTCCTTTCCCAAATGGTCCTGTTCTTCAGATCGGACAGGCAGAGGGCTGGTGGGCCTGGCCAATGGCAATGGGTCACTCACGGTGAGTGTGTATCTGTGTGTGGATGCTTATGAGTGTGTGACGTGTATGTGTGCACACACTCCCAGACCCGTGCAACCCTACCTGCCCGTGAATGTGAAGGTAAGAAGTGAGACCGAGAAAAGGGAGAAATTGAGTTTTGGTCACATCTACAGCAGCGCCCACCCCATACCACACTGCATCACACACACACACACTGAACAGACACACAATTTGCATGCTGACAGACCCCCAGCTGCGAAAATCCTTTAATCCCTTACAACCATCGCTCCTTTTTGTTTCCTGAAGAGACACATAAGTTATTCAGTTCTAAGTAGGAGATATTTGTCTTCCTTTTCCTGAGGTGAGCATGAGGCATGCTCTGCTTTCATGTAGGCATCTGCAGGGCCTCGGTGCACAATGGGCCCTCTGTGAGGCTCCTGTATTGGTACAACATAGAGAAAGTGAAAAAGGGCCCCATTCTGTTCTGCACCAGGACTCGATTTTAAAACTCTGCTCTGAACAGATGCTGCAAAAACCTGCTAACCCAAACAAGTACCTGTTTCAACTTCAGATGGGATGTTTTTACAAGCTTCGAATCTCTTTTTTACACTAATTCCCTTCCTCTATGACCCAGTAGTCATATTTCTGCTGAGTCCCATGAAAAAAGAATCCAGCATTGCTCTGTTTAGAACTAGGACTGTCAGGTAATTCAAATATAGCACATGTTGCGTTATGTTTAAGTCTTATTAAGTTTGATTATGTGTGGCATTTATAGGTTAGCAAACATGGGATTTATTTGCTTATTCTGCCATCTTTAATTACCTTGCGAATGAAACATATCAGGTAGCCTACATCTTGCTAGGCGCCATGTTGGATCCTCATTCCCTTCAGAACTTCCCTAATAGATTCAGCAAGGTGAACTGAATCTGAATGTGGCAGCAGAAATCAAGACTCATTAGACTAGACAACTTGTTTAAATTGTCCTATTGTTTTTAGTTAGTAAGAGCAAGGGTCTTTTGTTGCTGTACCTAATTTGCATCTAAGTTTATTGTGTTGAGTGTTCATACATGCTCTTCTGCAGTTTGAGGAGTGACCCATTTCCACCGAGTGGTACAGTACGGTGCTATATGGGTCGGTATGGGTCATCTTTATCAGGCTTGCCTTTCCACTGCCAAAAGGGTACCATTGGCGTGGTGTATGACAGAACGTTTCATTCAACGTCATTCTCGCTCGAGGAAATGTCAAAGTATGAGTAGCACTTCTCACAAAACAGATGCTTTATACACATAAATACTTGTGTATAAATGTTCATTACTAACCTTTCTATAAACATGATTTGATTATAACTGCAGACCAATCATGCGAAATAGCCTACATTGTGTCTGCCATTATATAAAATAAATAAATGCAACATATATGAACACATATAGACCTTTAAAGTTATAGTAAAAACTACACACAACATACATTTAGTCCTTATTTGGGTTCAAAAACAACATGCAACATATAGCCCACAGTCAGTGCAAACCTCTCATCTGCATCTTGAATCTTTACCAGCACATGTAACCCCTTGTTAGAAAGTAATTCTGTAATTCCGAGTTCATAATAGTCCAAAAGGTGATCATAATTAAAAAAGGCAGTTTGTTTATGTTTTAGGTTGCTGAAACAATCATTTGCTCCCGTTTTTTCCGGCTTCTCCTTTGTTTTTACGCACTTCACTTTTGCGTTTGTCCATTTCTGAAAGGATCAAATGTCAGAAGCACTTCAATAATCACGCGCACTTTTTATTATCAGTTTAGAGGTTTGTTATTTCAAATATAAACACAGACGTGAACTCTCTCGAGAAAGTGAAACCTCTCACGCTTTAGACGGCCATGTAAACAACGACAGTAGATTCTGCTCTTCTTCTTGTGGCTGTTCATCAAGATGACGACAAGGTTTGTTTAAGCTTGGGTTGACCATGGCTTGTTATTATATGTATATATTATTACGGTGTAATGTCTTGGCTGTGTATTTAAAATTGGAGCTTCCTTTGTTTTCATTTTCTTGGCTTGTGCACGAACTATTGATGTATCTCTGTAAACAAACAGCGTTCAGCTGCGCATCTTGCTTCACGTTTTGGTACCCTTTTGTTGTGCTAGGTGACCTTTTTAAGGGGTACCCAAAAAGTGTTACGATATGGTATGCTTTTTGATACTTATTGACAGTGGAAACAACCATAAAAGCGTATCGAACCGTACCACTTAGTGGAAATGGGCCATAATTGTAGCCTCTTGATCAGCTCAAAACGCCTTGGCCATTCTACTCTGACCCTTACAATCAGTAAAGTATTTCGCCATTTTTTGAATCATTCTCTGTCAAGCCTAGATATGTTTGTGTGTTGAAATTAAATTTTTGAAATATTCAGACCATCCCTTTCAGCACCAACAACCATTCCATGTTTAGTGTCACTTCAATCATCTCTCTTCGCTATTCTTATGCTCAGTTTGAAATTGATCTCCTTGACCATGTCATCATGCTCAAAAGCAAGTTTCCAAGTGACTGTAGAGTATATAAAATGCAAAGATATTAAAGAATATTTAAGATATACAAGCGGTAAAAGACACCACATGCACCAAAAAGGTGCTTAGCTGAACCAAGAAGCATGCACTGACGTCCTTGCAAATCCTCTGAACAGTGCCAAGCAAATCCATTTGCTTGCACGATCAATTTAAGCTGCACAGGCCTGTACTGTGTGGTGGAAGATTTCATGTAACACAGACTGTGTTTAAAGTCAATGTATCAGATGCAACCAAAAATATATGCGAAAGACCTTGTATAAATGCAGTCATTGTTTCAAGTGATACCCAGGTACTGTGCACTCCCTGTTGATTTTTCCCCTTCTGTCAGATGTGTGTAAATATTTTAAAGAAAGTGTTCCAGAGTCTTCTGTAATACATTGTTTTGTAGTGAATATTTTACAACCGCAAAGCTCTTTGCGATTATAAAGATGTGCTGGTGCAGTAGTTCCCACCAACAACATTCTCATTAGAAGTTGCATTTCACCTGAAAATCTTCCTTAAATACCTTACTAGATGGGAGTTGTTTATTTATTTTATTGGAACTGTAAGTTTAGCAAAAGCTTCAACGTAGTGCTAGTTGTTTTCATTATTGTAGACAAGCTATTATTGTGGATTATAGATTTCTTTAAAACAAGGTTGCCAGACCGAGTACTCTTGACTTGACTCTTGCCTTGTTGTCAAGCAATTAGACTTTTCAATAACTAAATTATTATTATTATTATTATTATTATTACACACACACACACACATACACACAAATGAAATATTAATCAATGACAATGATGGACCACTGAAACCAGTTTAATCAGAAACATTGAACAAAAATGTATATCATATTACATTTTTCTAATGGTTCTCACAGTTTTTGATGTTAATTTCAGTAATTAATAAAAACATGAAAAAAAATTGTCACATTTGTGCGCTGAAAAAGAATGTTTACATTATTTTTATATAGAGAAAATGCATCTTAAAACCAGTCAATTGTCAACTGCAAAATTTAAACTATTATATACATTAAAACTCTGTCACAGTACAGTATGTCATCTGGTTTGAAAATGCTGCAATTTTCAAAATTAATGATAAAATTTGAGGTGCTGAAATTATAGAATAAGTATTTCAAACAAAATTTTCATTGAATATTGAAATATTGTTTTTACAAAGTTGCGAAGATGTACAAAAAGTAGAGGTAAACATTGTTTAAAAAAGTATACATGCCAGTACATTTCATTACTTACAATTGATGTAAACAATTGCAATTGCTACCATTTATCTAACTTTAAACTTATTTTGGTACGTTTTGTCATTGAGACTTACTATGCTTTTAGTGAAATCCAGTAAACCACCACTATGTACTAAGTTCAATTCCAGGAAATTTGGCTCTATAATTAGACCACAACTCTCAAGTAGGTATCGCTGCAGCCCAGAGACCTCCAAGTGGGAGGGATTACACTGCAAGTAGGTTGGGTGACCTCCAAGTCGGAGGGACTTAAAATACAAGTAGGTTGGGTTTAGGTGGTTTAGGTGTTGCAGATATTATTAAAACACATCAGGTTACTGTGATATGGGGTTTGGGGTTGGGGTAGGTGTAGACGTTAATAAAACACAACAGGTTACTGTGAGATTGGATTTAGTGTTAGGGTAGATGTAGACATTCATAAAGCACATTGCACAATATTGGACTCTGAGTCATGTAAAAGACGTTAAATAAATTAAAGCTCCAAGTTTGTACAACCCACTTGGAGCTCGAAGGCCCACCCACTTGGAGCAGGCTCCGACCTCCATTTATACCCTTCTTATTACTCTCCTGCTTAAAACATCTCAGAATAGGGTGGACCGTGAAAATATTTCTGGTTAATCCTGCTCCTACCAAGATTAAGTAATTTATAGGGTACAACTGTTGTTTAGATCTCTCTTCCATTGTAAGAACATTTAACATGTAATGATGTTTCCAGCTAGTCTATGTATGAAATTAAGGAAGGCACAATGGTTTTACAATACAGCCATGAGAAACCATCTACAAATGCACATATAAATCAGTCTTATGGATCTTTACTCTGCTGAAAAGGCCAGGATACCACACTCTTAGTTGTATTTTGTATGTAGGTATCCATCGGAATTTTTTATAAGCTTCTTATTCATGGACTTAATTCATTCTTTGTCAAAAGCTCTACCAGAAAGGTCTTGCTAGTCACCTGCTCAATTAACATGAGATAAGAAGTAACCAGAATCCATTCTAGTGGTCTTTTCAGCAGTGTACAGTATTTATTTTAAGTTTTTTTTTCAGATCCTTTTCAAGTGTTTCAGTTTACTAAAATTGTCAGTTCTGATTGATGAAATGGATTATCTTGATGGTGTTGCACCTTTATATGACAACAGCCCTGAGGAGACGGAAACATGTCATCAGCTCTCGTGGAATAGGGGGTTGGATCTCATTACCATCGAGACGAAGGTAGCGGAGACGTGGACTCTTCTCCTCCAGGTGATCATCGAGCACACCAGGTGGACAGATGTCAGAGCTATTCACGCCTATGAACATGATCAAAAAATATATATCTTACTTGAAATACTAGCATAAAATAGTTGTATACAATGTCTAAAGCAGCTGCCTGGTCAGTCAATATATATATTTATATGAAAGAAAGTTTAAAAGGTGGTTTATTCCGCATTGCTGACCCTTGATTTATAAAGGGACTAAGCCAAAAAATAGGAAATGAATGAATGAATGTAAGTTTAGAACTCTGGTAAAGTACTTACTCTTGATCTTATTGTGGTCTAGATGCAGGTGCTCCAGTCCAGAGGAGATAACAGGCACCTCTGTGAGTTGGTTGTGAGAAAGTTGTAGATCCAGGATGCTGGAAAGGTTAAACACATTTTTTGGGATACCCCCATTAGCTAGCTTATTGCGGTTGAGCCTGAGAGACGCGACTTTAGGAAGACCCTTGAAGTACTCAGCTGGAATCTTCTCAATGTTGTTGCCGTCCAAAAAGATTTGTGTAGTTGTGGGTGGTAGGCCAAGAGGCATACTGTTTAGCTGATTCTTTGCTAAATTGATCTGGATCAAGTTATTGAGGCCTTTTAGACTGACCTCTGTGACTGCATCATCTTGTAACTTGTTGCTTTGCAAATCCAGCAGGGTAAGATGACCCATTCCAGAGAAGACACCGGGTGGGATCTTCGAGATTTTATTTCGGGACAGCCTTAACTGCTCTAATTTGGCTGGCAGAGGAGATGGAATAGAAGACAGCAAGTTGTCTTCCATGTAGAGATGAACAAGGTTGGACATTGCTCTAAGAGCATCTACTTCCAGGCCTTCAGTTGTGATTTTGTTGCGGTTGAGGTTTATCCACTTTAGCTGTGTGGCGTTGCGCAGAGCATTGGCTGAGAGAACATCAATTAGGTTGTTTTGAAGGTACAGGTACCAAGTGTAGGGGGGGATGACAGGTATACTTTTCAGCCCCTTGTTGTCACAGTAAACCGCATTAGGGAAGTTGGGAGGGCAGTTGCACTCTTTAGGACATGCCTGGAGTTGAGACATCAGGTGCTCATATGGAATTTCATCAGAGTGGACTTGGCTGGTCAAAAACACGGCCACAAATGCTACCAAGAGTACCTCCATAGTTAGGTTTAACCTAAAGAATCATAGAAACAGAGCAGAAAAACAAAATGAGATGTTAACAATATTAATAAAACTTTTAGACATTAAACGAAACACTTTATATTTGTACTCACTGCAGACGTCACTAAATCACCCCCACCCAAAAAATAAAATGCTTGATCTCAGGGCCTTGAACATAGGTTACTATCGCCCATACTAAAAATAGCATCTACCTTATATAACCTCCAGTTGTCTCTAAGAAGATGACCTCAGTGACTAAAAATTAAGAACATCCTCTAGTTAAGATTCCCCGTGTCTCCGTCTTTTAAGTGGTAATCCTCTTAAATTCAGAATATGCTGCCAGGTCAATCTTAATTGACTCAACTATGCCATAGTACTACTCTTTCCATTCACAAGGCAGTTACATTTTAAACAAACATAAGAGTTCATATATGACAGTGACTGACTAGTTCTGAATACAATAAGGTTTAAAAAATTCTTATCTAAACATGCAGCTCAACTCCTTGTTCAAGCTCTTGTTCTCTCCAAACTGGATTACTGCAACTCTCTACTAGCTGGGCTTCCAGCTAACTCTATCAAGCCTCTTCAACTGCTCCAGAACGCAGCAGCACGAGTGGTCTTCAATGAACCTAAACGAGCACATGTCACTCCGCTGCTAGTCCGTTTGCACTGGCTGCCAGTTGCTGCTCGCATCAAATTCAAAGCTCTGATGTTTGCCTACAAAGTGACTTCTGGCCTTGCTCCTCCTTATCTGCTCTCACTTCTGCAGATCTATGTGCCCTCCAGAAACTTGCGTTCTGTGAATGAACGTCGCCTCATGGTTCCATCCCAAAGAGGGAAGAAATCACTTTCGCGAACGCTCACGCTTAATCTGCCCAGTTGGTGGAATAAACTCCCTAACTGCATCAGAATAGCAGAGTCACTCGCTACTTTCAAGAAACGACTAAAAACTCAACTATTTAGTCTCCACTTCACTTCCTAATTTGCAATTGCCTCTCTGAATATCACACTAACTGTACCCAAAAAAAAAAAAAAATACTAATACTACTAATACTTCCCTTCTTAGACTTTACAGACCTGAAACTTGCCTATAGCACTTATTCATTGTTGCTCTTAGTTGTGTAAATTGCTTCCTTGTCCTCATTTGTAAGTCGCTTTGGATAAAAGCGTCTGCTAAATGACTAAATGTAAATGTAAATGTAAAATTATCAGCGTTTTTTTAAACCCTTAGTTTTCATTTTGCAATATCAACACACTACAAACTAGGACCCTTTTGAAAGAATTTTAGTGGAGATTTCATTACATATTGATGTCCAACAAGTTATTATGCTATTACAAAGTTTTTTTTGCTGACATAGCCATATATTATTTGGCTTAAAGTTGTCCAGAAGAAATCGACAAAAAAAAATCATCTTATCTGCTAGTACTTTAAATACATTGTTCTGGGCTCCAAGGGGATTTCTGGAGATTGTTTTAAATGGACAGCTTTCGTGCAGTAAACCTGAGTTGTTGTCTAGTACTGGATACCAAGACATTGGCTTAAGTAGAGCATCACCTGTAAAAGTCTCTCAAATTCAAACACATTGTGTGGACATTAAACAACAGCCGACATCTTGAGTACCCTAAAAGAACTCTCGTGCATAGAGTTTTAGATCAAAGATCTAGAGCCACAGATCTGGAGATCAGTGGCTTTTTTGCTGGCATTCGCAAAACTGACACTACACACTTGCCAACATTTTCTAATGCACATAATCACAAATTCTAAAGACTTACCGTTATCTTTTTACGTCTCTTCTACTGTATCTCTTGCTTTGGGGTGTTTCGATCTGAGCTACTCTGCCTCTCCTGCCCCTATTTGTAGTGTCAATGGTATCCCATGATTCCATCATAGACAGACAAACTGGATACAACCTTAGCCAATCATAGCCTCTTGAGATCAAGAGTCATAATCCTTGAGGTCTGACAGTTCTTAAACCGCTGTGTTGGTCAAAAGAAGACATGAGCCTTGGCCCAGTTCTAATTAGGTTAATACGGGCCTATATACCCTGCTGGATCCTACATCCTTTTATTCATCACCTCTCATAACAACACCTGTCTTCTGTCTTTCAAGTAAACAAATGTCTGTTGGATTTATCCATCCATATCTATTGGATAGTGGCCTTCCAGGACCAGAGTTCTCATCTAAATCTCACAAGGAAATGTAATTATTTTTCATATTGTCAGAAAAGTGGCTAATTCGTACAATTTCATTTGTTTGAAAACGTTGGCAGACGTGCCTCTCATTGGGGGATAAACAAACCATACTAAAATATTCAAATGAGATGTACAAAGGAATACTAATTAGCTACTACTAAATCAAAACATTACAAATTACTGTAAGATTGCACTCACTGCTCTAGCTTTTGTTCCACTATAATTTTCAGCATCCTCACTTACTTCGTAAGGACTCCCAGTTTGATTGGTTAACTGTTTTAATTTAGCATATGCTTCCAATGCAAATCAGAAATAATCTCATTTTGCTATTATTTGTTCCCAATTCCACTGACGACAACAACACCTTACCGTGTCATTGTAATAATTGTATAATAGGCTTCTCCCGTCAAAGTCTAGGATAATTTGTAATCCAGTAGTATCTCGTGTCAATGATGGTGCTGTTCTATCTTAGAACCTGTGGTCTAAAGGGCAAAGAATTAAAACACCAACCTAATCCAATTATTCACAGGAACTTAAAAGAGCTCTAAACACATAAGACGTCTGTGTCAAGGTGCACAACATTAAATCTGCAGCTAAGAGCGTTAGGTTGCAAAATGCAGGACATGACAAGAGGTCACTGTCAGGGTAGCAATTAGTATCTAGCTGAGGAAGCTTTAAGTCTATTAAAATACTCTGTGTCTTTGATCTGTTCTCAATACAATTAAATTGACAAACATCCATTGCATAATTACAACAGTGAAATGTCAAAGACTTGCTATGCAGTTCATCTAGATCACACTACACGACTAAACCTAAATGACTAGTAAGCCCCACATTGTAGCAGATGTCAGCTATTTTAATGTCTGCACCTGTTAGACTAGACACAGCTTATAGATTTTAGACTGGATTTGCGAATCACTCAGTCTTCTGAGTTCTGAATCAACAATTAGTAGCTGCCAAACATTTTGGTTTAAGGCTGATTTATGCTTCTGTGTCGAGTGATTGGCATGACCCACGGCACCTGCCTTGCGCGTAGTCATGCATTTATACTTCCGGCATGCTGTTTGACACTTCTGAAACATTAGCTGGTAGTAGGTTTTTTGTTCCTCTGTGTCCAGTTTCTTTATGGCTGTTTTGTTATTTCTGAACACTACTTGTATCTAAAACTCCTCATTCAGAGGCGGGAACTGGCGGACGTGCAACAACTTTAGTCAAGGTGAACATAAAACAAAAGTTTCCATCTGGAGTTTCTTCACGTGACTTAACACTTGTAAACAATTGATCCATCAGGCTCACAGCTCTCAGCACCACCCACGCTCATCACCGTTACGAAACTGACCAATCACAGAGCTTGCGCTACAAGTGGTTGCGATGTGTAGTTACGTTTTTTGAGAGGTGTCGGCGTCAGCCATGTCTAGGGGGATGCGACCACGCAAAGGCTGCGCCAAAGTATATGCATGCATTCGACGCAGAAGTATAAATCAACACCACTTTTCCAAGCTGTAACTTTTAGTCTTTCTGTAATGTTTTGATTTATATTGAGCAGCAGGGAATAAATAATCACAGTCTTTTGATTAGAGCAGTGCAAACAGTTTTCTGCTAAGTGCTAATGCTAACTCTGTCAAATGTTTGACAGTACTTTCATGACACATTAACATTATAACTATTAAAATCTGAGACTATTAAGCCATACCTGAACGCAAAGCCTTTTTTAACAGTTATTTTGGTCACACTTTATTTGGATGATCTGTTTGTTGAATTTAAGCTACATTGCATCTACATGCCAACTAATTCTTATTAGATTATAATTAGACTGTTGGGTTAGGGTTAGTGTAAGTTGACATGCACCTGCGAAGTTTCTTAAAGTCAGTTAAATTTCTGTTGAAGGACCTGTATCAACAGATATTAAGCAGACAGTCTACTAATACTTTAATGGACCATCAAAATAAAGTGTTGTCATTATCTTTGGTTAACACTGACAAAAACATTCAAAAGAAATAGAAATTGATCGTCAAATTTAAATGGAACAAGCATAAAATCCATCAAACATGTAAAACAATAATAATCATAATAATAACTGAGAAATGCCAACATTGTCAAGACAGCTGCATGACATTTATCCTCCACCTAAACCAAACCATATGCTTTTGAAGAGATTTAATTTCCTGTTTGGGGCATTGTATTGCAGGCAGTTAAGTTAATTACTCATAGGTCTAACATTTGGCTCTAGCTCAATGGCTAGCGTTCAGTCCAATTTCAGTCTTTCACACCCACATAATTCAAAAAACCTGATCTGAACAGGAAACTGAAATGAAATCAGCTTTGTCTAATTATTTTAGCATACAACAAAATGCTGCACTGGTGCTTTCTTAGATAGAAAAGAAATAAACAGCACACATTAATGTGAGCTTTGCAAAAAGAAACAACTTAGAAGTGAAATTATTCTTTACATGTTGAAAGTACCTGTCAACTGAAAAGAAGAAATCGGTGACTTTCCTCAAAAAACATCATACCAGTACCATGGCATTGGGATGATAAATGGTCATGCCATAGTATTTTAGAACCAAATAGTATTTAACCAAAAAAACAAACAAAAAAAAACTAGGTAAGTTAAACAAGGTAAATTTTAAACTCTCTCTAAGACTACGAATTTGATATCTCAATACTACAGAACTGAAAACCCATGAGAGCCCCTTACACCTTTCACATTTATTGCACTACCACCACATAAAGAGCAAAAGAATGAAAACATTACCTGCTCATCTCAGTCACAGAGCTGATTTGGTTTGTGGAGGTGGAGACGGAGTATGGAGTATTGGGGTGTTTTGGGGTTGTCGTCTCTCGATCCGCCTGTTCTCTTCCCCAGCTTGAGTTCAATCTGCAGAATCTCCTACTTTCTTTCTGGCCCCGACAAGCATCAGAAGACACAGCCTTATTAGATTACCATTGTTGGTAGTGCGACTTCCCCAAGGCCAAACCTTTGACATCAGCTGGTGAGCTTTGGGAAAGGGGGTGTGGGAATGTTTGACAGATATGCGTTGAGTTGTGTTTCTGCAAGAGTGCACTGGGTACTTATTACTAGCACAGTACTTTTTTCTAATTCTTTGTGCACTGAGGGTCTATAGAGAGGTGGGGTCCCTGGCAAATATGATACCCTGCAAGCAGTTGCAGGTGGCTTTGAGACTTTTAACTCTTTCTTCTCAATGAACATATCTCATCTCCATCTGACTTGGGGGGATCTTTTACACCCCGGTAAACTAGGTGACCCTGGAGCCATGCACATCGTTTAGCTGTCAATTTGCACTGATGGAGACTCGTCCCAACCCGTGAAAGGTGGAATTAAGCAGGAATGCAAAAACTGGTGAAAGGTGGAAAGATGTGTGTGGGTTAATCCAGCACTATTATCGTATGCTAGAAGATCTTGCTCAATCTTCGAGTTCGTCATAGCTTCAGATTAAATGAAAGGGCAGTGCATAGGAACCAGGCAACATCTGTTTGAACATCTGGAATCCGTTGTGGACATTTTAAAAAATAGAAAAGGGAAGTGGGATATATTAAGTTTGTGACACTGATTAAAGTCCCTCTATATTTGGGAAAGAAGCAAATCCCTTTCCTATTCAATGGACGTTTTTGTAAGTAATATAAGAGGACTCATGATTTCTCTTCTCATGTACTCAATTCTCTTCTTATTTGTACAACCAAAGTGTTCATCCTTTTTCAGATTTCCAGATGCTAGGCCATGTTGAAAAATGAGCAATGTTTTGCCCCGTTACACTAGCAATGTTAATAGCATGAATACATTGCTTTTTGGAGTCAGACATTTTATATGAATTGGTTCAACTGGTTCAGAAAACCAATATGAATATTTCAGTCACAAAATGGACTGATTTGAGACACTGCATCTACTTGATATTAAAGAGATAGTTCACCAAAAAATGCAACTAAAGTTGACTTTTTTTAAAAAAAACTCTGGGGTCTATCTTACGTAACTAAGAGCTTAAGTTCTTATAGGAGACTTCCCCTTGGAAAAAATGCTTGTGCATGACCAATGCAAGCTCAAGAATGCTCCATAAACCCACTGCAGTGCTTGGGTAAGAATGAGTCCCAAAAAGACTGCTGTTGGATGTGAGGGAAATCTGATCATCTTTAGTCATAGTTAATTTAACCCTATCCAAATGTAAATTGTAAATACTTCAATATAGAGTAAACAAGCCAACTAACTAGCTGCAACCCAAGTAAGGCCCAATCCCGATTCTATTTTTGTACCCCTAGCCTTTTCCCTTGGCCCCTTGAAACAGAGTGTGAAGGGGAAGGGCTTCAAAATTTACCCCTAAGAAACGGAACACCACTGCAACACCTGTACACATCATCAAATGTCATCATGATCTCTTGCTTCATATGAGATCGACTGCTGTAGTTATTCCAGTTGTGTTATTTATGGGCATTTATCTTCAAGAATTCACTGAATGCATTTATCATGTTATCATAACGATATAACATGGCAATATGCTCGTAACTGTGCTGTGCACTTACACCCTGGCCTTATTCATCCATGTAAACACAAAAACAACATTAACATTATAGCAGACACTGTAAAAAGCTCATTCCCAGCCACTAGATATTTCTGACAGGGTATTCCAGTGTCAAGTGACAATATGTTGTGGGACTGATATACAGGAGACATTATTGGGAATCATAGATAGCAAAAATTACAGCTTTTTTTTTTTTTTTTTTAAAGCATGACGGTAAAACATGAAATTGGTTATGAATGTATTAAAATGTATGCTTGTTTGTTGTAAACATTTGTAATAATGACAAAAAAAAAAAAAAAAAAACTAGTTTGTGCATCTCCTGACTTTCTTGTGCAACCATACTGTTGCAGTAGGTAGTGTATTCTGGGAAATGTTTATACACTCTGGTTTTGTTTATGTTCCTGAAAAATCTTAGTTTCAAGGGCTATCTAGCTCTTCCCTTAAGCCCCATGCCTTCAAGATAAAGAGAATCGGGACAGGGGAAGGGCTAAGGGGTAGAACTGGGATTGGGCCTAAATATTACATCACTGAAAAGACTGTTGGTTTTGATCTTTGACAAGCGCCACACTCGTGTTTCTCTCTCTCTCTCTCTCTCTCTCGCTCAGTTATAGCCCTTGCAAGAGCTAATTTGAGTTCAGCAGCTGATCAGTGATGCACTAAATGCTCTAAAGCAGGGATCCTCAATCCTGTTCCTAGAGATCTACCTTCCAGCTAAGTTCAGCTCCAACTCTGATCAAACACAACTAAACCAAGTAGGATCTGAAGGAGCACTTGGTAAATAAACACAGGTGTGTTTGATCAGAGTTGCAGCTGAACTCTGCAGGAAGGTAGATCTCTAGGAACAGGATTGCAATCACAACAGTATGATCATATGCTCTTGGAATTAATTACAAAGTGAGTTTGCTACTGGGCTACAAAATTGTTCCTCACATTGTTGCACACACTTAGGATTAATATAAGATTGGACACAAAGTGAGCTTGTTATATTCCATTTAAAACTCATTTATACCAAGTGCATATCAGGCCAAGGATTTATATCCCAAAACCATTCTAAGAAAAGAAAATTGTAGAAAATTGTAGAAACCACTGGCACCAACAAACTAATAAAGCTTACAATGCTTTTGGGAAATGCACTTAAACAGAATCTTGCTTACCTCTTGAAACAAACTGTCCCATGAACCAGTTGAAGATAAGTCAGACTTGCCATCCCTACTTTACAGATATAATGCAGCTAATTGGTTATTTGAAGTACAGATTTGGTTCTGTCCTCGATCAGTTATTAATCATATGTTGGCAAATCTTACAGCATCTTTCTGTCAAATGTAAGGTAAACCCCCACAATTTTCTCGCATTTAAAGCAAAGCTTGGTTTAAATAAGGGGTGTCCAAACTTGGTCCTGGAGGACCGGTATCCTGCAGATTTTAGCTCCAACTTGCTTCAACACACCTGCAAGGATGTTTCTAGAAAGCCTAGTAAGAGCTTGATTTTCCAGCCCAGGTGTGTCTGATTCGGGTAGGAACTAAAATTTGCAGGACACTGATCCTCCAGGACCAAGTTTGGGCACCCCTGGTTTAAATGGACCAAATGTTTAGAGGTATGTGCCATAACTTCATACCTAACTCTTTTTAAATAAATATATGATGAATAATACTTAAAATGTAATTATTAATTAATTAATAATTAATAAAACACTTTAAAATGCATCTAAAATGCATTTAGAAGGTTGGGTGATATTTATTTGGACCTAGAAATGCATTTCAACCCAAAACAAATGCATACATTACTGACAATATGACATGTAGCGAATTAATTTTAATCATCCCTTTATGGTATCTGTTTACTTTGCAATTTTATTTATTTATTTATATTGCCTATGTCCTCACATACCATGATAGTGCAAGAAGGCAGTTGGGCTCTAAACAACAGCAGGAAACTCTTTTGTCTTTTCTCTCAAGAGATCAGCTGTAGAAGAACAAGCTAAGAAACACCACAGTGGTCTCTTTCCCACACAAAGTCTTTTCAGTGTTGCTGAATAACAGGCTGTGGTTTTTTTTAGCAAGACCACAATTGCATAGCTGACAAGCACACTGAAAAAAAACAACCATGACATGGCAAGATCAAAATTTAAGTGTCTTTTCAGTGCTGTAGTAAAAACACGAATGTGTTATTGACCTTGCCAATAATAAGTCTTCCTGAAGAAAGACATATTTCACTCTGGTGATGTATGTCAGACTTCTGCAAAGATCAGTCTCCAATGAACAACTAATGGACTGAACCAGGGTCTTTTTCTACATTTCTTTTTCTTAAAAACTATTTCCTTCTAATGTATGGGACAATGTGTATGGTGAAAAGTCAGAAAACTATGTTTCATCATCAACCTCTGGGAAAAGAAAGTGCACGATCAGCTTGTGGCGATCTTATATTTTCAGGCTGCTATAAAGCCAGAACTGCCCATCCATCATCTGTTTCCAACACATGGACAAAAGAACTCCCACAATGCCTCGCTGTTTAACTATCAGATGGTCACCCAAAACGCTTCATTTCTCTGGAATGCTAGGTTGTCTGCCTGCAAATTCTACCGTTTTAAATAAAACACTCATTTTTAGTGCTAGCTCAGACGCGTGCTCAAATCTGTAGTTATGTTAAATGCAACGTTTGAAGTGCCTGTCATAAAGGTGTGGTTTGGGACGGAGAGACAGATGGAAGCAGATGGTTGGAAGAAGTAAAAGGAAAGAATGGACCAACTGTTGGGGATATTTTATGATTCATTCAAGGTATGTCCCGGGCCAAGAAAGGGAATGAATGTTTACAGCTAACTCAAACACTGGCACTGTGAGAAGATATGAACATCCCAGCTACACAATATGCAAAGGTGGTCATTGAAACAAGAGGAACGTCAGACATTTAGCTCTCTTAAAAACAAAAATGACAAAAAAAAAAACAAAAAAAAACTTTTGTAGCAATGCCATAAAGAAACTAACAAAAAATGGGGTTTGATTACGTAAAGAAGAAACAGTTTACACAAAAATGAAAATATTATTACTTTTTAATTTACTCTTGAGTAAACTATCACTTAAATAGCTTTTCATGAACCATTAGTTTGTTAGCACAAATGACTTTTAATAATCTTTTTTTCCCTAAAGAACCTTCAGTGGGAAGTGCAGGTAAATGTACTTTGGATGTTAAAGGATATTCTTGGAAGATCAATGGTCTTTATTTATAAGCATGCACAGTAGGTGAACCCGTATGACCTTTGGAGATTTGGATATTTTTCTATGTCATGAGGCTAAAAGTGTAATCACAATGTTGTAGAACTATGAATTGAGAAGTGTTAGAATCGTAGGAATGCATCACAGATCATTATATTAGGCTATGTGTTATCTACGGGCAATAATAGCAATATGTCATACTTCCCTTTTTAAATGTGCACGTAGATGATCTAACGTGGGAGAGCAGATATATGTATTTACACGTCTTTTGGCACAGTGTTCTTGAAGCTTCATATCATTACAGTTACTCTTAAAAACGCTGCTGTCTATGGAAGATAAGAGGGCTGTCAGATTTCATCAAAACTCTTTTAATGTCTTAACATGAAAATGAATGTGTTTTAAGGAAATTGTAAGAACATGATAGCGAAAATTTAATAACAGAGCTTTAATTTTTGGGTTGAACTAATCCTTTAAGTCTACAATTTTATCGCAGTTTGGGTTTTATGGACATGTATAAAGATTTGACATGAAACTATTACTAAAGCCTAACGTTTTTATTGAATGATTTGATTTGGTCTTACCTTTTAAAGTAACATGAAGTCAAATAATTCTTATAAAGTGCTGCCAGCAGATATAACACCCTAGTTCTTCAATACAATGACCTTTTCATTATCGTTTTTTTATCCACAACCTTTTCTTCAGACATCAAGTGAACACGTTTCCTACAGGAAGCAGTTCTGTCATCATGGCTCTGCTTTAAACAGAACTAAATTGGCAACCAGGAATCAGAGTGAGAGGCCAAAAAGGAGAAGGAAGGAGGACAGATCCATACCAGAACTAACAGAGTAAAGAAATGGAAATCCACATCAAGTCATGCTAGAAGATCATAAATTAAGATCAAAGCAATCAAACTTAGAGTAGCTTGACTGCACTATGATGTGCAAGCCTAATTTTGGTTTGACAAATCAGTTGATAACAATTAAAACAAAGTAAAGCATGACTGATTACTTGATAAATTAAATGGCACTGTGTGTTATAATACTAGATCTGATCTAATTTTAAGGATTGACATCTTCAGTATCTCCCACATAGGTAAAAAAAAAATGTGTTTTATTCAATTTAAGATGAACAAACTGCTTTGATGTTGTCTTGAAAAAAAAAAAAATCAGGGATCTTACAACTTTTATATAACAGTCTGCCAAAGTTATGGGAATCTCGTGGTTCAATAATTTGACTAACATTGTGATGATGTGAAATAGTGTAATGAATACATCAAAAAGTCATTGCTGTGTACCATAGAACTGAAAGGAATTACTGTTACAAAATTAAGATGAGCTGCATGCAGATACAGTAGAATATGGAATAATCGTTGGCAGAGTTCAGAAATGCAAGCCGCTACTAGTTTGCAATTAATAAATTTTGCCACTGCAGTTTCTCATTTAAATAAACCCCCTTTGAGATTAGATAGAATTCACTCAATGTACAATGTTTATTTTTTAATTTGTAAATTAAAATGCACTGCTGTGCATTTAGTTCATATCCATAGGTTGTAGAAAACAGTCGAATATCCTTACTGGCAGGCTTATTAATAATATGATTACAGTTTCAAGTGATTAAAGATTTTAACATGCAAAAAAAAAAATAGATGACATGTAGTGCAACTCATTATAGAGTGCACAGCATTTTGTGTCTCTCTTTAGACTGAAATATTTCCACTTTTCATACATTATAATACAAGACTAATCTTTTATGTGCCAGATTTTCAAGATTTTCAGACTATTGCTGCCCGTTTTTCATACAAACTTTTTAAACAGCAAATATTGTCAACAATGTGCAAGTGACCGAATGTGGTAGCCAGAATCCCGAATAAAGACATCCAGAGTGTCTAATAGAGAGCAAAGTCCTGCAGGTTTTAGCTCCGACGCACTAAGAAGTTATAAAGAGTCTGAAGACCTTCATTAGTTTCCACGAGCTAAACTCTACAAGATAGTGGCCATCTGGGAACAGGTTTAGTCATCCAATCCTGCTCCTGAAGAGCCAAAGTCCTGCAAATTTTAGCTACAACACAATTTCTAAGAAGGTTCAAGTGAGTCTGAAGACATTCATCAGCATGTTCAGGAGCTAAACTCTGCAGGATAACGGCCTCTGGAAACAGGTTTAGATGTTCAATTTAGCTGCAGAAGGGCCAAGGTCTTGCAGATTTTAGCTCCATCACATATGCTGAGAAGTTGTTAGTGAGTCTGAAGGTCTTCATTAGCTCGTTCAGCAGCTAAAATCTACAGGACACTGGACCTCCAGGAAAAGTTTTGGGCAGCCCTGGTTTAATAAGAATTAAAGCCTTATTTTGTTTGATGAGCTACTGGCGAGATTTAGCTCTATTCAAAGATGATCTCTGAGGCCTGGCGTAGGCAGTTAGCTGTGTCATCTGGCATACTGCTGTGTGTGATGTTGTTTCCATCCAAGCGCAGGGTCCTCAGTCTAGAGTAGTTGACCGGTGAGCTAAATCTGCAGATATTCGTCAGCTCAAACTCTAAAGAAACAGAAAGCAAAATGGAGTCAAAATCAATGCAAAATCTGATTCGCTTAACCAGATGGAGACTAAAAAAACTTACTGTTTATCTCATTGACTTGCAGGTAGAGGTGTTCTAGTGATTCGTTGATCTCCGGGATGGTCTTCAGCTTGTTGAAAGACAGGTCAAGCTCAAGAAGAGAGGACACGTTGAACACTCCTGCAGGGACTCCTGAATCCACAAGTTTGTTGTGGGAGATGCGCAGGTACTGTAGGAGTGGCAGCTTTGCCAGGTAGCCGTTAGGGATGCTGTCGATGTCATTATTGTCAGCGTAGAGCATTAAAAGCGAAGCTGGAACTCCCGAGGGAAGTTTCTTGAGCTTGTTCTCGCTCACGTCCAGCAGAATGAGGGACTTGAGGCCCTTGAAGGCTCCTGTGAGGCTCTCGGTGGTAAGTTTGTTCTTGGACAAGTGGACGGTTGTCAGGTTTTCCATCCCAGCCAAAGTGTTAGCAGGGAATGAGGTTAACTTGTTACCGATCAGCTTCAACTCATCCAGAGACTTCGAAAGAGAACCAGGGGGTTTAGTCAGCTTGTTATGACTGAAGAGGAGCTTCTCCAAGCTTCCTAGTTTATCGATAGTACCAGCCTGGATCTTGTCACTGGTGATGTTGTTGTTGTCGAGGACGAGCCAGCGAAGGTCGGTGGCATTGTCAAACACTCCAGCCTTGATCTCCTCAATGAAGTTGTTCTGTAAGTAGAGGTATTTGATTCCGGTCGGCACGATGGGGATGAACTTCAAGTTGCGCTCATTGCAGTACATGGCAGTGGGAAAGTTGATGGGACATTCGCACTCCTGGGCACAAGAAGGTGATGAAACGCCCTCCAGTGGTGCGGAGGGTATGTAGTACTCATCATAGTAATCATACTGAGCTAAACTCAGACTTAGAAGTCCAGCCAACAGAATGGATCCCAGAGCAAACATGGCTGCACAACTTAAATTAAACCTAGACAAGAGATCAGTAGAGAGGAGAAGAGAACAGGAAAGAAAGGGAGAAGTGGTTAAATAAGGAGCAATATTACATTAAAAAAAAACTAAAATGTGTAAGAATAACAGAACTTTCTACGGTGAACCTCAGACATAAACAAAAACCAGAGACACTCTTCTAATGGAAATTGATGACTTCATTCTCAAGAATGCAATAGGCCCAGACAGACATTCCTCCCTTCACAAATTAGACCCACATTGCTGGTGTTCGGATCCAAGTTCATCTCAAGTTACATTGACTTTACTTTAGAGTTCCCTTTTTTGTGCATGACATGCTGATTAATTATTAAGATGGAATTGGAAAAGAAAGACATTTATGAAGTTGGGTAATCCATTAATAATTTATGACGGCATAGAATAATTTGCAGCAGGTGTCAAGCATGGAATCTCGCAACCCAGGTTTTCTTTATAGCAATCCATTGATGCAAAATCACTAGTCAAATGCATGCACTGCTTTATCTTTCTTTCTTCCTGCAAAAAATTGCATTGATTGTTCCATTGTACAATTTCATGCATTTAAAAAAACCTATAAATCATTTGATTTAATTCTAAATGACAGCCTTTATATTTGACCACAAACAGCTTAGATAGAACTCCAAGCTTCCCAAACATCACGCTGAATTTCCGCAATATGATCATAATGTTTCTTTAGTCCTCCCCCAAAATCTGCCAAGCAGATTTCTGATAATCTCATCCAGAGAAAGCAAAAGCTAGCATGAACATTCAATGCATAACAGCAGATGCTAAATATCCTTACCTTCCTGCTTCTCTCTCTTCAGGTACAGTTGTGTGCGGCCCGAGGACTCTGGAGAGAAAGAGTAAGGGAGGGAGAGAGTGGAGAGAAAGAGATAGAGAGAGAGAGGGAAAGAGAGAGAGAGAGACACTCAAGCCAGACCTTAGTCGCCCAAGATTGAAAACAGAAGTCAGGCGGTTCTAGTATGTAGATGTCAGCAGTTGTGGCACATATGGATCTTAACAATGGTGAGTAGTAGCAATGCAGCTTGGGACATGTAGTCCTTCGTGGGATGCAGAAGGGAGCAAAGACTCACTGGGGAGGTTTTGCAAAATATATATACCTGCTGCCACACACACACACACACACACAAACTTTTCCATTTCCATGTCATCCATTCCAAACAATCCCACAAAACAGTTCACCTATTATGTGAGACACAAATAAGCCTACAAACACCTCAACCGTAAAAGTAATAATCCTAGCAAAACAAAGGATAATGAAACTATTTTCAAACTATTTGGAAAATAAAATAAATTGGCTGGTTGCAATGGCATCTGCCTGCTATTAGACAACCGGGACTTGGAAAAACTGACCAAATAAAAGGGTATTGGGCCAAACCAGCCTTACATAACCGTGTTGTCTACCTTCGGCATCTGAACGGAGAGTGTATCCAATCGTTAACAGCTGGTAGATTGTATATCATCAAGCAGTGTGCCATCTTTTAATCTTAAGCCCCATAAACTCCAGACGGCTTCTGTCTGGCTGTGGTCATGGTCCTCTGTGATGGGAAGCTCACAGCACATTGAGGTGGGCCACAACTCATGAGGGATCCAGGAAAGACAAGGCTGATTGCAGGTCAGTTTATCTTTAATAGCACATGCGGAGTCTTAGGAATGCAGCAAAGCCAGAGAGCCAGATGATAGATTGGTTCTGTAAGCCTTATGTGTATCAGAGCCTAGGTTGTGCATTTCTTGGGCCACTACTGTAAAAGCTGTAAAGAATTAGGAAGATATAAAATAAGGATTATAATCTAAACTAATCAATCCTGTCTGGTCATTGACAATTACTTGGCCATTAAAGATAATTAAACTGATAAACTTTGGAGTAGGATAAAAAAATATTGCAGGGTTTTGAATGCTTGATTCTGAATGGTGGGTGAACATTATAAAGTGTGCAGACATTTTTCAGATAAATGCACAGCTAAAGTAGTTCCAGGCAAAATAGTGAAGTGTAATGGTCAATATGGTGAATAAAGCTCCGCCTACTTGTACATAAGCCAATCTTCGATTGCTATAGACAGACAATACTCCGGGGGAGGTGCTCAGACCAGACGAGAGTTTCTGCCGATTTTGTGTGATTTGGATGTTTAGAAATGAAACTAAAGACACAGTTGTTGTTTAACTTTATTGGTGATACCTAATATGGAATTCAGTGGTAAGCTTGGCAAGCAGTTTTGGAGAATTTAATGTTTTCCCATTCAGAGGGAAACATTAAATTCTCTGCCCGAGAGGTGTTTTAAAAATGGCCGTTGAGTAAAGTGACTTGCCTCAAAGGGACTTTGATTACAGACATAACTATGCCAAATGATTTCACAAAATACAACATTCAAAAATATAATCAAATGTCAACAAAAGGCTTGATGAGATTTGTAAGAACCTGGTCCTGCATACATTCACAGTCTGAGGACAAAAGCCTGACAAATTTATTGAAATACAAAATCTGAACTGTAGATGTGATCACAATGGCATACAAGGATTATTTAACTCTGGTCTGTCGAATTAATGGAATATAAAGCACACTAATAAAAAAAATAATAAAATAAATAAAAATAATAAAATAAATAAAAATACATATATATATATATATATATATATATATATATATATATATATATATATATATATATATATATATATATATATATATATATACACACACACACAATGGGGAAAATTAATTACACATAAATATTCCCCTCTCCACAGACTTGTGAGAGGGCCGGATGTCACGAGTGCTGTTGTTATAATTTGTGTAGTTTTCCCCGAATGGGTTTACTACGAGGTGTAGGATGCCTGACAAAAACACCAAAAATAAACAGTTTAATAAACGATGACCTTTCCCGGAAGTGTAAAAAATGGTGGAATTTTTTTTACAAAGGTAATGATAAAAATGTCCAGTGCAAAGTGCACAAAAAATAGCAAATAAATAAATAAAATGATACAAAATATCAAAATAATAAAATAAAACAAAGATAATTATGTCATTTATAAATAAACAAACACATATCCACAATATATAATAGAGTATCCAACACGAAGAGAATTGCTGCCACATCACGCTCGAATAATATTTCTAAAGTAGCTGTTGACATGGAATTGAACCAGGTTTTGGTAAAAACTCAAACAATACATACATAAAAATAAAACAAAACAAAAAATCAAAAAAAATAGTAATGTGTAACAACAATGGCAGAGTGTTTCTGAATAACCTCTGAGAGATTTCAGCTGCTGTCTGGGCTTTTGCTGCCTTTCTACACCGCCCTTTCTTCATGTGTTCAATTCTTTTTCCCTTCATGTGTCATTTCATTTTATTACACAACTTAATTTGTAAACTACAGTAATTAAATTTGTTTTCTTTACCAACATCTGGTGAAAATTTCAATTCAACAGCACCTTTAGAAATATGTTTTCTGAGATAAATAGTGATCTGTTCAATACTTATTTCCCCTACTGTAAATCCCAATATCAATAAGTTTGCAAACTGATGTCTGTAGTTATTTTACTGAAAGTCAAATAAAACAAATTATTAAAATATGATATTAAATTAAAACAAATTAGTCATGTAGATAAATTCAAAAGTCTGAAAAAATTAAATACATATATATTTAAATAAAATCAAATGGGAAACAGTGACTAAGAGTAAGTTTCATACACTAGTTACATGCTCGAGCACCACTGCATGTTATAGCATGTGCAGTAACTGCTGGACCACGGATCAGACACCACTGGTGGTCCTTTCAACTGCTCTCAATCAATCTTATCATTCCTCGTCTGTCACGATTCCTGCAGGTCATCCTGCACTGAGTGAGGCCTGCAGGGCAAACACAAGCTGTTGAGCTCATGTCTGGACATCATGTATGTTTTGCAGTTATGCGGCAGGTAAGGACAAACCTGCGCTGCTCAACCTAATGCAGGTATGACTGATTTGTATTAGCTCTAAGACTATGTAAACCACAACATCTGCAGGAGCACAGTGGCATATCAAGTACAACACACTGGAATGCAACGGCAAATTCAACCCAGTCACTGTTATCTCATCATACTTTTTTCTCGTTTTGAGTAAAATTACAAAGGGTTACATTTTGTATTATTTAATTTATATTTTAAAGAGCCCCTATTGTGGGTTTTCGAAAATGAGCATCCATTTAGTGTGTAACACAGATCTAAGTGAAGGGAAATATCCAGCTAAGGCTTAAATCTGAAAGTGGACAGTTTTTAAAACTACTGAGTCATCTAAAAAAAAGAGTTGATTCATAGTGGTTAGAATGAATCATTTTCATAACGAGTCTTTAGCCGTTTCAGCGTGACGTGACTACGAAACATAGTTGATATGGGCGCAAACCCGGGAAAATTAAAACTTGCGCCCCGCCCACTAGCACAGCAGCAAAGACAAGAAGACGAGTCAAGAAGACGCTGTGCTTAGCTGGATATTATTGGAAGTGTGAGGGGAAATAATTGATTCAGCAGTCTACACGCTTACAGTGGGCTATAACACTTCACGCAAGAGGTGCCACAGCAATAATTGCAAATAGAAATGATCTAAGTTACAGCTTAGAAGAGAGAAAAGCTCGGTCACGGAAATCAAGCTCAGTAAATGATGTGCACGCTATAGGTTTCATTTTCACTGACAAGTGCCGTTCATACTTCCCGTGCGGGGGGTTATGACGATCACGGGGTTGTTGCACGGGCCTGTCCGCCGGGGGCTTGACAAACCGCGCTGGGCATTTGTCTAGCGCTGAATGCTGTCGACCAATCGCAACAGGCTGTCATCGGTCCAATCAGCGCAGATTAGCTTCGCACTAAGGAGGGGTTTGGGAACAAATGAATCGCTGAACGATTATGGGAGTCGCTGTGATAATTGGGTAAAAATAAATGCATATTATAAGACCATGAAAGTGTTTTTTGACCTTGCATGCATATCAGTATGTTGTTGGAGACCCATATAACCAAAATATGACCCTTTTTCATGTATAATATGGGCTCTTTAATATTAATAATAAAAGCGTATTGCTCGTGCGCATTGCTTAAAAAGACAAGAGAATAATGGTCACACTAAGACTATCTCACGACAATTTCACGACAATTCACGCCAACTTTTTGATGTAGTTGCTAATTCGTATGTATTTATATAATTTCGTTCAAACATTTTGGTACGATTTGCTCATCAGCCAATGACATGTGAATTTGTACAAATTAGCCACCAAATTGACAAAACTTAAAATAGTTAGGTTTCCTCGTGAAATCGGGCTGGTCACACATCCGTCAGTCTAATATTTACATTAAAAACAATGGAAAAGTGGTGCTTTGGAATGGAAAAACACGTTCTGTGTGAGGTCTCATTCACACCAAATGCATCTTCGCGTCTAAAATCCAGGAGGCTAGATGATACAAGGTTATTTCATATCAAACAACTGCAAATAAGCAGATATTATAACAATTTATCAATAAACACACACCTTGTTCTCTAGCTGTCCATGGCTGTGGTTTTCTGATCAAGTGAAAAACAAAAGATGGGGAGGAGCTGAATTCTGCCGTCGTTTTCATATCAAATTTAAAGGGGACTGAGGTGATAATTTAGTTTACAGTTTATGAGCTAATTACAAAAGTTTTAGGGGGCTGAGTAGAAATATAGGGGGCTACAGCCCCCCCTCCCCTCCCCCTAAAATGGGCCTAGCAACGCCCATGACACAACGTCAAAAAATTGCAACCCTCATGTGCACAGCACGTCAAAAGATGTAAGTGTAAGTCAGGAGCATGTTTACACTGAAAAGCAATGGA